CTAAGGTGTGTTTCACAGCGACCTGACAACACCATCAGCCCAATCTTCTTCTTCATTTTTCTCATTTCTTTTTTTGATTTCGCGTCGCGCGTACGGTAGCATTGTCTATGCGTTAGTTTCGATGTCCTCTCATGTCTCATCCTCGCGTGTCTTTCCAGGAGAAAATTCGCGCGATATTTTTTGTCCTATTCCTCTTTTTACTTTCTTTTTTTCATTTCCACGCCCGTACTATGTTAACGTCGATATGACGCTAAGTAAACTCACTCACTCACTCACTCACTCACTCACTCTCACTCACTCACTCCCTCTCTCTCTCTCTCTCTCTCTCTCTCTCTCTCTCGTTCTCTCCTTCAATTAGGACGAGGACTCACGAAGGGGAAAGGAAACGAGCGTCCACGTGAGCATGCGTACCAGGACTTGGCATACTTCCGGCTCGTGTCCGGGCTTCGTTTCTTTCCTGCTGTACCCTCTTGATCTTTTATCAACTGTCATCGGTCCTACTCGGGAAAGACGACTAAGGCGATTCGCTAGCGACAAGTATTCTCCTGCATTCCTCCCTTCTTCTTCTTCTCTCTCTCTCTCTCTCTCTCTATATTTGCTTCCCCATTTCGTTTTATTCTCTTTGTCAACCAGACAAACTTCGAAGGCCGTCGTTGCTCCCGAAGAAGCTCTGGTCGCTTCGAAGCTACGACTTTCTCGCCCGCGTGCCGAAGCCATCGCGCCAACGAGAGAATCTCTTTTCATGCGGTCGATGACGCTGCAACGAGGACGCTGATGCACGTAATTGATCAGGACGCTCGCTCGGCGGCTCGCTCGCGTGTCTCTCATATCTCGCGTGTTTCTCGAGCTTCCTCGACCTTCTGCCGCACGACTCGCGAGATCGATATCCCGGGTTTGCAGGTCGCAACAAACAACGGCAACCGCAAGCTACGCCGAAAGCTGCCGGCTTTGTCAATCGAGTTGGACGTTTTAAACGAGTGCACACTTGGCGACGAGATCGTCAATCAGGTGGGGGGAGAGGAGTGAATTAACGTCGGCTTCGCTCTATCAAATTCAAAACGCAAATTTCCATGCAAACATTTGTCACACTGTTCTCGGCGTTCATTCGTTCGTTTTTTCGCGTCGATCTCGATCGCGACTCTCTCGGCGATGTTGCGTCGCGTGTCCCAGCGACGCCATGCGCAACAGTATTGGCGAGGTCGCGTACCAGTGATTTTGACGAACGATTCGATACCTTGATAGGTGAGGAAACCGACAAGTTCCGTCGGGGAACTTGAAAAACGAATACGCTGGTATTAATCACGACCTTGGAGTAAGCAGGAGTCACGCGTCTAAGTGAAGAACGTCGGCGGTTTTTCTACTCGCAGACGGCGACTGAATATCGCGAGATAATTCGTGGATTTTGACACTTTGATTTTCACACCTGACATCGACTCGTCTTAATTCATTCCGACAAAATAGCGAAAAGTCTTTTCGCTCGTGTCGGATGTCAAGTAATAATGTATAATGAATACTTTGAAAGTGACGATAGTGTCCTGGGGTTTTCTTTTTTTTCGTCTCGATCCGTGCGAGTGTTTCGTAGCCAAGGTATCGTATCGTTCAAGGTGTGTTCCGCAGTTTAATCATCTGCTCAGCTTACATTTCAATAGTAATCGAAAAGATGGCGAGATGAATCGACTTCGGGGCGAGACGCAAAGCGAATCGCGTCACGCGAAGGAACACGTGAATACGACGATAAACTCTAGCACTTGACAACGAAGGAACAAGCTTTTTGATATGTCTTCGTGACTACTGAAATTCATGCTTCTGTCTTAGCGATCGCTGTTAAAACTTGGATTACCTACCTGCCGAAACACATGTATCTCTCTTTTCGTTTCGTTTCTCTTTTCGTTTCTCTCTTTCGGGCATGCCGTGAACGTACCGGCAGGCAAAGAATTTTTGGCTCGGGTCGAGAGACGTTCTCAGTCATTCTCAGACACGTGAAATTCTCAAGAACGTCGAATATGAACGATCGATAGTCTTCTGAAACGCGTCATTGCGTTCGACTTGCACGTTTCCTTCCTCATCCGTTCCCGCGACATCTTTGTCAATTATGACTATATATATATATATATATATATAGACATTAAAGAATGAAATGAGCGGATATGATTTTCAACACATCCTTCCAGACTCTCAACGATTAAAGTTAAACACAGAGCTACATTAGAACAGTATCAAGATAGGATAAGATATATCGACAAAATCAATTTCGTATTACAAGATAAACATCAATCTCATATTCATCTAATGTTTGAGAAAGATATACCGCAATCGATAAGCAGAATCACGAGAATAAATTCAAACGATTCTAAAGCACTTTCTGAAGCCGCACTATATACTATTATATTTGTTTCAATGAAAATCAAGATAAATTTCCTGAAATATTTGTAAAAATTCACATTCCGCTTGATTTCATATCGGGAGCCTTCTGCGCACGATTACGAGTGCGACGAATGACGAGTTCCGGAGGAGTATCGATCCAATCGCATCTGATCGCCGTATTTCCCACGCACCAGTATCCTCCAGAGATAGAGTTTTGCGTCGTACAATGAAGGGAAAGAATCGGTCTCAAGTTGCTGAGCATAAAGGAGAAAAGATTGCACGCATGCCACTGTCACTAGAGCACCACCACCACCTGACTACTTCAGAATTAGTCTCTGTATCCGGTGAGGCTGCGTGAGCCTCTGCGACGGAGCACGGTCGTTACATATTTTGCAAAAATTAATCTCAACTCGTCAGCTGGTCCGAATCGACAGATGAATGCGAATGATCCCGATTCGAAAACGAGCACGAATGCGTCTAACGCGTATATGCTTGTGATTGCGTGTCCAGTCGAATAATTTCAATTAACGCGAAGATAACGCGAGTCAACTGGTATATCGCAGCAATTGCCTGGATTGTTCCACGATGTTATTCCGGGATCTTTTCTCATAAAAATGCCGCCTTTACATTCCTGATTTATCGAATTGTCGATTAAATGCGTGTGAATTTCGTAAACTTATCGATAAATTTCGGCGACCGAAGTAGAAATGGTTACTTCGTTTAAAAAAAAAAAAAAAAAAAAAAAAAAAATAAATTGTGTGAATATACAACATTAAATATATATATATAAATTATCTGCTTACGAAGAAAATTGGTCATAGTTCATTTATCAAAGCGATCTTCGTCAAAATTTGCGACGAATTAAATTGATGAGTGAGTAAATTTGATTTGCAGCGTGTTCTTCGTTTGCAGTCGTTCAAAAATCGGTACTTAAGATTAACGTTACATGCAAATAAATCGCGTGTGTATAGTGGAAATTCGCGCTGTACACACGAATTAAATATTGTCACATGAAGAAGTTGCTTTGAACCAGCATCGAAAGGTATTTTCTGTCTCGTTCTTTTTTCTCTTTTGTTTTTTTTTCTTTTTTTAGTGTGTATGCACAGAAGAGTACACTTATACAGTTAGTGCGCATGAGGAATATAGTGGTGGCTTTTATCAAGTTATTGAAAAGGAATGTTGATGATTGTCGGCACACATACAGCACTTGGCAATGCTTACTAAATATCTACAGTTCAACCTACACCCGAGTGCCTGTACCATACGTTTACATCCAAAACACCATGCACTCTGTACACTAAAATAAAAAAAATCCCGACGTGTGAATCGGTGGAAATAAAAGAGAGAGAGAAAGTAGTCCTGCATTACAGCGAGGGGAAATGTTACGTCGCGCTTCAAGTACACATTCACCGAATTATTACATTCACCAAAATTTGCCTGCAGTTAGACTACGAATCTGATTCCACTGGACGGCACGAGAATCGCGCGGAAACGTTAAATGGCCAACGATATTTCACAGGACACCGCGAGATAAAGTTTCGTAATATTGCAATATGCGACGAAAAACGGCGATGATGTTCCAATGAAATTACACGAATTGTTCTTTCCGTCTTTAAGTATCTTTTTGTTATATTTTTTACGTTAATGAGAATCAGGTCCACGTGTGAGAAAAATACAAATTACGAGTAAAGACCTGAAACGTTTTCTTTTCTATTTTTTTTGTTCTTCTCTCCGTCGGGAAACTCGTCATCATAAAACAATGACAAACGTTTTCACCACAAACCTTAATGTCATTGCTTTCGGTTTCGGTTCTAATCCCTTTCCCTGATCTCATCTGTGTGCGTGTACAAGTAATGCAAAGCTGCACAGACTACCAAACCATTATACAGTTCGATGTGAAATTCAGTCAACTAACTACCCCTTAAACTTAATAGATATCACAATAACAAGGAAATTTCCTTCCTTCTTATTGTCATGTCGAGAAATTGTTACAGAACCTTAATCCATGAAAGCAAGCAGCTGCCGTGTGCAAGGAAAAACCGATGTTTCATGTATCAAGGTGCTCACAGGTATTGTACCGGTTTTGTACCCACAATACATGCAATTAATCCATCACCATTGAAGTTATCACAATGCGGTTCTATGTACTAAACAGTAATTCATAATTACGATTATAAAATCTCTTAATAATACTCGATATTAAGTTTCCAGCGATTGAATAAGAATCACTTATTTTTGTACACGGACCATGTGGATACAAAACTTTCAAGGTCCTTGCGCTGCCATTACTTTTCAATTCTGACAACTGTATCAATACTTATAAAATGAAGTCAATTTCATGAAAATCATAATTAAACATGATTAAGTTGCTCTATCAGAAAATTATTAGTATCTCGCAGCTCAAAAATTTACATTTTAAAAACTACGACTAAAACATTACGTATTTCCAAAATTGTAATTAAACATTAACTGTCCAAATCGCAGAGTTCTAGTGAAGAATCTATCTGAAATGATTTCATATATATGTACGTTGTATTTACACATGTATACGTGTGCATATTCTTGTCGTAATGGCAAGGCAACAGACTGTATCATGTAATTCGTACGTGATAACAGAAAAATAGATAACCACTCACCCTGTACTATTTCCGGTGCTAACCTCTCTCCCGAAGTGCTTGGTTTGGAAAGCAGGTGTCCTAGAAGACAAGACATACCTGGTATCAAAAATTCGTGCCAAACCGAATGCAAAGCTAGACACATTGAGAATTCTGAAGATTATCGCGAAAAATACTTACCGACATCTGACGACTGGTGTTTGCCATCCAAACCGTCCGATGTTGATTGACTCGAATAAAATGTCTGACTGATATCGAGCTTCTGCTCGTGATCAGGCGTCGACGATGTGTCATCTATGGTGTTTTTATTTAATGTGTTGTCGCCCAAACTCTGATCCTCGTAACTACAACTGCTGCCATCCTGTTCCAAGTATTCTGGCATCTCCAGCTTCAAATTCGGCATGAGGGGGATTATTTCGACCGGGTCGGAGCCCGGTCTGTTTTGACTATCCGACATCTTGCCGTCGGCATCCTTCCCTGACACGTTGTTGCCCGCTGAATTCTTCTCCACGCTCGCATTCGTGCTGTCGCGCGTTTTTCTCCTCTTATTGGGATGTACTTCAGGCTGCAATTCGACGGAGTGAAACGGGATCGGGGAAGAGGGCGATTTGTTCCTCTTGTTTTCTCCTGATGATTTTCCGGAAGTATTTTGCAGCTGCACCTCAGGCTCGTTTGGGATTTCTATGTCATCCTGTGGAATGATATAATTCATGATTAACAATCTCTGGTTATCCAACCTGTTTGTATTGTTCTACTGTTAATATCTCACCACTAAACTGTCGTTGTCCTTTCCTGTACCATCTGTCAAACCCTGTACTGCCAATAGTTCTGCTGTTGTAAGAAAACTTGCTAATTGTTCTTGAACGACGTTCACTTCACCTTGGTACATAAAGTCTACCAAAGCAGCCAGGTCGTCGAATTTTACATTACGAAATATTATGACAGGATGCTGGCATGGATTTTCCTGTAGTGTAATGAGCAGTAGTTAGAAGAAAATTTCCATATTCGCTTACACATATGCAGCATAATGATTACAATTGTCATTACCTTAAATAAATCTCTAAAATATGTACTACATGCTGATAGAAGCATCTTATGTGCCCTGATCCTCTTGCCTTCGCAGCTTAGAGTGACATCTACGAGATCTTCATCTGTCCTTAATGTGTCAAAAGCACAAGTAATATGTTTCAGATAATTATTCCACCTAAGAGAGAATTGTTGACTGGAACCCATGCTGCTTCTCTGAAAATAAAAACCTAATTTTTATTCAGATCATCAAGATCATATGTAAATTTGTATCATAACAAAAAACTTCTATTATAAATTCTAATGGATTTAATAAAGCATAGTTAATATCATATTAATCAGATCAATATTTTGTTCTAGTATTTTAGAAAAAATGAGTACAGAGTAAAAGGGACAAAGGGAATATAAATTATTTCATTTTATTATACCCACATACAGAAAAGTGCAAAAATCACGTACATATACACATACACATACATAGGTGTGCACGAAGCCACCAACACTAATAACACACGGGAGCGTCGTATTGTCGCACGAGATCTTACCTTGACTGTGCGCGTCCTCGGGGTTGTAAGTGTCGGTTGGGAGGAATCTCCCGGGGGAGTCCTGTATTACGGCAGCACAAGCGGAGTAGGAATATCGGAATATCGGCGCACGGTCGCGAGCCTGATCCGGTCGACCGTTCACGGGCGAGCGAATCGTGGAGAGGAATCGTCTCCCTTTCCAGGCGCAGCGCCGGGCGTAGACACGCACTAGTCGACGTCGCGCGCTTGGCAAAAAATAAAAACTGTAAACAGCCGAGCGGGCCAGACTCTCATAGCACCGTGGAAGCAACACCGTGGGGGCCCTGTCGCCGCGCACTTGTACTCTCCCGCGCCTCTCACCGTTTCCCTCTCTTTCTCTCACGCGCTCTCCGCGATCCCGTCGAACTCAACCAGCGAGCCGCACGTTGTTATGTAATTTCATCGCGCTCTCGCGGCGTGCTTGCGCGCCCGGAAAACCGCCCTGCGCCGGATTCACGTCGTGTCTCTTCACAAGCCGCACTTCGATACCGAGTGACAGCTGGCAGCCATTTTCCGTACGGGAATACGCGTAAGATGCGCGAAGAGGCCCCGACCACCCCCTCTTCCAACCCCTTGCACTCGCTCCTCACTTCAAGTGAACCGTCGCGCGCAGTGCGTGTGATATTCGCTCTCGTTGATGTTGCATCAGGCGCGCGACTTTCAAACGTAATATTAAAAATGGCACTTGAGGCTCGGCAACGAGCGAGGCTTAATGTGAATAGTAATCAATAATGATTAAACTCTGTAACATTCAACACGATTTTTATGTTGCATAAATAAAAATATGAAAACGAACACCTGTATTAGGAGTAAAATATAAGATAATATAAGTTATAATTGCTGATTTTTATCTGATTCTTTTTCTTACATCAAGATCATAGTTATGACTTAAAATAGACATTTGATTGCCTCGAAAAAAATACAAAAAATATTCTTTGAGGGTTATATGTAATGTCTTTTTGTTATATTTTTAGTTTTTCCTCCTCATCTTCCACAATGTAGGAACTGATAGAAACGTATACTTGCTTCTTGAGTGTAGAAGGTGCAAAGAAGTGTAGACTAATTCCATAATTCATACACGGTGGCAAAATGAAGGTATATCTTTGTTTATGATAAACGAGAATAATTGGACGGCAGGATATATGACATGTAAAACAATGCCAAATAGATGTACTGTAATACTATAAAGTTGTTAAGTTACCAATTGATATAAACAAGATTGTTGATTAACATGGATTTGCCAGTGAATGAAGAAAATTTACAACAAATATTAGACAAGTTGTCTGAAGATGAGGTTTGTGTTTGACATTAAATTAGAAGCATAATACAGAGCTTATTAAATTAAAAGAATGATTTTCCATATGAGATATATCACAGTCCCTGGTTCTTCTTATACATTCCACTGTATATTTAATACAAAGTTAACATATTGACAGGTTTCCATAGAGAAAAATCTAGATGCAATTCTTGCTCGACGATGTCATGTGGAAGCAAAGCTACAGAATATTGGCAAAGTGTTGCCAAATGTGATAATAATACATACAGAAGGGGAGAAGTTTCGTGACATGATTGCTCATACCAATGAGTTAGCAGAGAATGTTAGTGCCAAAGTAAGGCAGCTTGATTTAGCAAGAGTAAGTTGTTATAACTAATATTATCTTTAAATAGAACTTTATATATTTCTCTATTACTTGCATGTACTTACTTGTGGTTACTTGTAGTTAAATAATATATTCTTGTTTGACAGAGCAGAGTATGTGAATGCCAAAGTAGAGTAAATGATATATTAGATTTGCAATTATGTAGCGAAGGAGTAGCAACAGCACTACGCAATGAGGATTATGAACAAGGTGCTGCTCATGTCCATCGTTATTTATCAATGGACCAGCAATTGTTGGAGAGAACAGCTGAAAATGTATCAGGAGATCATACTAGCATCAGCAGTTCTCTGATTACTCTGCAACAAGCTGCTATGGAATTGAGAGCAGTTGTCACTCATAAGTTTGATGAAGCTGTAAAATCTGAGGATTTGGCATCTGTTGAGAGATTTTTCAAGATATTTCCATTATTGGGGATGCACTTAGAAGGATTGAAGAAATTCTGCAGTTACTTATGTACTAAAGTATGCTATAATATAAAATTATATTTACCTATGTCATCTCCTACTAAGAATAATTTAGTTTTTTATCCAAAAGATAATATTTATTAATTTCTTTCATTTGGTGTATTAGTTGCATGAGACTGCTCAGAAAAATCTACAAATGACATTGGAAATCAAGAGTAATGATAAGAGAGCAGCTGTTATTTTTGCCGACACTATGACTCTCTTATTTGAAGGAATTGCACGTATTGTGGAGGTGCATCAGCCAATAATCGAAACTTATTACGGCCCTGGTAGACTTCTAATGACAATCTCGATTTTGCAAAAGGAGTGTGATAGGTGACAGAAGCTTGTACAGTGGAATATATACATCAAGTCTTAGATATTCATACACATGTAAAATAATTACACATTAATCACAGACAGGTCAAGAAGATTATCATGGTATTCACAAAGCAGAGGTGTATATCGAAGAATGTACAACTAATAAATGATTACTTGCGCAAACCAAATCCTGAAAGGATCGATCCCAAAGAGCTCGATCTTCTTCTGGGTGAAATTACAATAATGCATTCAAGAGCGGAACTCTACATACGTTTCTTAAGAAGAAGAGTGAAGGTTGTGAAAAAGTATCAGTCCTTAAGATCATATAATGTGTCATATAATTAACGAAGCGTTAGTGAAACATCTGTTTTACAGAACGACATCGAAATCAGTACTACCGATGAGACACAACGTACAGATTTGCTGAATGAATTCGAAACGACCGTGAACAATTCCGAATTGGCGCATGGGATGCAAGAATTGCTCGGCGCTTATCTCGCCTTAGAAAGATACTTCCTCGAGGAGAGCGTGAATAAAGCGTTAGGGATGGACGCTTTGGATCCTGATCAACAAACTTCCAGCATGGTCGACGATGTGTTTTTCATAGTGCAGAAGTGTGTGCGGTATGTGTCGCGTTGAATGCAACGTTTATGTTACGTTTTCTTTCGGAGTAGCTTAGTATCATCTCTGCTGAATGTAGAAGCTACTCAATTTCGACAAGGCGCTACTCCGTGTGCAAGCCCGCATTATTTCTCTTGTCTCTGACGAGTTTATTATTTCTACAGACGTGCTATGTCAAGTTGGAGCATAGACGGCGTATGTGCCGTCGTCAATATGGCCTGCGGTATCCTTGAGGGCGATTTTGCCAACCGGCTAAGGAATAGATTGCGTCAAGGTTACCCGGCAGGCTATTTGGACCTGGCGCAGGCATACAGTGCTCTTCAAACGAGCATTCAACACGGTCGTTTACAGACATCGGATACGGAATACGCTCGTCTCATGTTCCTGGTAAATTGAAGTTCACAGTTGGCATATTACTTGTTATTTTACTTTCTATGGCAATAATGGTTATATCTGTTTTACCTGTACCCTATTTAATTATATAGTTTGATACTTGTCTTCGTTACTTACAGGCATACTTGAATAACACTGACGTAAGTACAGAGTACGTAGAGACACTATGCAAGAGCCTCGGTGCGGAAATCGACGCGACGTTTCCTAATATGCAGAAGAAGGACAGGGGCAAAATCGACAGCTGCTTATCCAGCCTGAAAGGGGTCATTCTGATTCTACGAGGTGTCATTGATTATGGCTTGGAACAGCTGCGCGTCAGCGCCGTGAAACCCAGAGTTACACCATGGGTCGACGCGTTTCTCTCCATTGATCATCATATTAATGAAGTATGCATTTCAAAAACGTATCTTATATATGCGTGGTTTATGATTTCCTAAACTATGACGAGCAATATTTATACGCAGGACGAATTATTGAGATACGAAACTGACGAACCGTTTGTGCAAACATTAGTCATGAATCTGGAGGGTCTGCTTCAAGTATTCAAGGGTAGTCTTACTACTTCCAATTATGATGCGCTTATCGGCCTTTTGACCGCGGAAGTTACGGCTCGCTTGGAGAAAGTGGTCTTAAAATCGACCTTCAATCGAGTACGTATGCTGCAAATTTGAGCTGCAACATAACGATGCAATTCTGCAATGAAGCGAACTTCTATTTCAGGCAGGAGGACTGATATTAGACAAGGAAATACGATCGTTAGCAAGCTATTTGGCTGCTGCTACGTCGTGGTCTGTGAGGGATAAGTTTGCGCGTTTGACGCAGATTGCTACTATCCTGAGCATAGAAAAGGTAGAAGAACTTGCAGACTACTGCGGCGCGGATGCAATAGCATGGCGATTAACGCCGTCGGAGGTCCGACGTATCGCTTCTTTAAGGATAGATATCAGGCCGGAAGATATCAAGAGGCTGAAGCTGTAATTATTTCACAATCGAAAATTATCAATCTGTTCGTGCAATTGGGTGAAATTTTCCTACATTACATTTTGCATATGTACATAAAAAAGTTAAGCGTATAATAAATTATCTATATTAGCATTGATGAAACATCTAATAAATAAATGATAATAGCCAATCATTAAGTCTAACGACTAGTCTCTAATGACTAGTGTCTAGTGTCGTGCACTCTTTATCAATCATTTTATTTACGTTGTCCTCGCTTCCTATTCTTTTTATTTCTTAATTTTTTATTCCTTACGTTATTTTATAACACACGATTGTCTAAAGTTCATTTTAAAACCTCTCGTAGTGAATGAAACGACCCGTATGAATACTATACTGATCATTTCATTGGTTACGAAAGATTTATAGATAAACCAAAGATAATCTTAAATAAAAATCGGACTATGACTATAAATTTTAGTTTGTCTTCATTGCATATTGATGCATCCAATCGAATTCACCGTAATGCAATGCTCATGCGGATGCTAGAACAGGAAGTTTGAGTCAAGTTAGTGTAATTAGGTTACACTTTCCATGGTATGTGCAATTTCCCATATATTTCGTTCCACATATTTCTCTCAGCGAAAATATTTAGCGCCTTTGCATTATCCCCAAGGATGATAGACAGAACCGGATTTTGCAATTAGGCACTTCAAAATTTATAAATTAATAATATCGTACTCCACTCCAAGTGTAACGCTTACTCTAGTATATTAAGCAGTTTTTATTATTCCAAGTCTTTAAAAAAAAAAAATTCTCTTTAGACTTCCGTCCGCCTCTGCAAACAGTTCTTCTGATTATAAATATTATAATTATAAGATGATTCTCCCTATATTTTGTTCAAAAAACGGGAAATGCCTTTGCTTATTTGACGAATCTCTACGAGAGGTCTCTGTAGACTCTGCTGTAGATCCTTGACGCCGCCATTTGCTGCTTCACTTCTGCGCTTTACATTCCAGTGGTTGCATCAGGAACATAAACGAGCGACAGAATGTCCTCTGCGAGTGGAGACGAGGCCGATATCGCGTTGGCCGAGCAAGGTAAGGACATGAATATAAACGCTGATTTACGCCGATTAATCGTTTGGCTGTACGTTCTCGTTACGAAATCGACACGTTTACGTGGACTAATGAGACGCGACCGGCATAATCGCCCTGCCCCTTAGAATCGCCATTTGAGCGAAATGGCGTCTCGTGCATGCATCGATATAAATATTTGATCGCTTGCCCATTGTAGTGAAGCGTACCAGGTCAGGGCGTTCTCGCAAAACGGCGGTAGTGGCCAAAAAGTCGCCCGTAAAGAAGCTTCTCGCCAGAGCTACACGCTCTCCGAAGAAGGTCCACGAGATCGAGGATATCGAGGTACGTGTTGCAACCATAGAACGTGTCAGCACCGGCGCCTACATCGCCAATTAACTCTATTCTGCTTGGTTCTATATATTATGAATGTAATCCAACGGATATGAATGGATTATTGCTTTGGAATCTTGTTCTCTTTCCATGTTGCATCCAAATTTATGACTTGAAGCAAGGCAAATATTTAATGATTAGAATTACAGTTCAGATAATTTAATATAGTTTTGTAGTATGCATTGTAAATAATAAATTGAAATGTGATTGTCTATTTATATTGAGTAATATTATAATATATTATTATAATATATTACTATATAAGTTAGAATAAATAATATATTTTAATAGTTACATATTATATTACATTATAAATTTATAAAATTTTGTTTATGTTTCAAATTATAAATTATAAATCATAAATTATAAATCAAATTATAAATTATAAATTTTATATACAAATATATAATCTATAAATTTTATATATTATTGTATATTTTATTCAATAAAAATTTATACAATAGTACTTTGTTTTGTTTTGATGTCTTATTTGTATGGCTATATATATAAGATGCAATAGAATATTGTTCTCAAAGCTAACTGTAATTGCAGGAGGAAGTATCGATGTTGGAGGAAAGCATGGTGGAAAACATGACTGAAAATGGAGTCCAGCAACTCACAGATATTATTGAACAACGCAGCGAGGAAGATACTTCTATGTTACATTTGGAACTAGAAGATTCTGAAGACACAAATATACATGAAATGACAATTGGTCAGAGTGAAGAGATTGAGCAAGATGTAGAAGAAATGGTAGGATTTTTTTTATGTAAATAGAATTTGTCAAAATTTATTACATATTAATCTTTGATATATATAATACATAAAAATTTTGTATATTACATTTTCATCTTATACACAAGATAAACATTATTTTGTTACTTTACCAGTTAGCGCAATTACATGTCTTACTAAGTCAACATTCGTGGTATTTTGTAGGAACATTCCAACATCAGATCAGAAGGTATGATAGTGGAAGATAGTAGCATGGATAAAGTGGAGATGCTGGTTGAACATAGTGGAGTCGAGATAGAGGGACAAGACATTAGCAATGACGACTCCAGTCAGCAACGCGTACTTATAGACTTTCAAGAAGTCATCAATGATGACGGCACGACCATGACACAAGAAATATCGGAATCAGAAGAGGTGGATTCGGAGAACATGCCCACGCATGTTGCAACGAACATCGAAGTTATGGAAATTGACGATTCACAACAGGGAATGTCGGTGGTGGCGGACACAATAATAAGCAAAGTGGAAACTGATATGGAGGTGTCGCAGAGCGGTGACTCCGTACCACGTATAGAGATAACTGAAGCAATCGAGAATGAAGCGGAGGACATGACCGAGGAAGACGCGAAGAAAATTGAGCCTGACACGGAAGCCGTGTCAGAGGACGAATTGCCGAATGAAGCTGCGAAGGTGAGATTTTGCGTTTTGCTTTGATTTGCTAGATTTTCGAAGACAAGTCAAATTTTATAAAATCAAAGAATCAATTTGGATTAAATAACATTGAATAAATATGACTTTAAACACGCAGGAACCCGAAACCGAAGCAGTGTCTGACGAGGAATTGCCGGTTGCGGCTCCAGCGGACTTGGGTGAAACAGAGTCTGTGTCCGAGGACGAATTACCACCGGACAGCGAGAAAAAGCGAAAAGGCATGGCCAAGTCGATTAACAAAACACCAGATAAGAAAACCAAAGTGGAGAGTGGAAGTGAGTATATTTTCGCGCGCAACAAAAAGTCTCGGCAGAGTTTCGTGAGATCTGATATCAATTTTATTACACGTATCTCACGCTTTCAGGTAAACGCAAGTTAAACGCGGAAGGCGAATATGATCCCAGTTCTCCGACGTCCGAAAACAACGACGAGACACCCGCGAAGAAAGCCGCATTGTCCAGCGAAACAGATGCGACGGAGAAGCAAGAAACCAAACCAGCATCACCCAAAAAGAAAACCTTGCCCGAGCTAGAAAAATACTGGAAAGCGGTTAATGAAGATCCGTCTGACTTTACGGGTTGGACGTATCTCTTACAATACGTTGATCAAGAAGTGAGTAAAAAAAAAATAATCATCTTTATTCTATGCGTTTAAAATGTAATTTCGCATGTTCTTCGAAGATATTACATATTACACGCACCTTAATTTGAGTCATCCAACACAGATAAAGAATTATAGTGAAAAAATTTATTGAAATTAATTATTGACTATTGTTACTTTATGCAGAACGACGCGGAGGCCGCACGTGAGGCTTACACCAAATTCTTGGAGCGTTATCCATATTGCTACGGTTACTGGAGAAAGTTCGCCGATTACGAGAAGAAGAAGGGGAACCCCGAAAATGTCCAAACGGTGAGTCCGATCGTATATTAATATTCATTAGGCTATCTCTCATTAATATCATTTAATTAACGCAATCTAATGAAAATAGTTCGAGTTAGGAAGACGCGTGGGCAGTGTGCACGTACATAAATATGGTTTTCCCTTCCAACAGCCTAGCACGTCTTGCGGCACCTATACGACTCTCTCCGTTTACCAAATAGCTACTTATTTAATGTTTCTGCGATATCTATACGAAAAGTATTACGCTACATTACGTACTCTTTATCGAATACCGTATATCATATCAAGTACCGTACTACGATACGTTAGCTTAGCGAGATTGCTAGTTTGTTTCCGATTTGTGCGAAGCGCCTCTTATCGCGATACAAGCAGAAAAGGAGGAAACGAAAATTGTGTTATATTTTACTGTAAGCATTTGTACACATAGCTTACTACAGAAAGTATTGTAAAACTTAAGCATAAGATATATGCGCTACTCTTACTTTATGTAAGTAAGATGTGTCGGGATGGGTGCTAAGTCAAAGTCAGAGACAAAGACTTAGGACGTGCACGTGCCAGAGAGGGAGCAAGAGAGAGTGGTGGAAGACACAGGGGCGCCCAGATCGGAACACTCCCTGACTTTAAGGTGAATTCACAATGCTCTGCAATCTCTGTGTTAATTAAATCTCTTTATTTACAGTACGCGTACGATATGTGAGTATACGTTGCTAAAAAAAAAAAAAAAAAAAAAAAACAGACAAAGACAAAAACCGTAATGCTTAACGAAAGCTAAAAGCAAAAATAGGTATAAGATCTACCCGCCGCCATCCCAACCAGTTGTAAGCTGCACTAAATGTGATCTACGAATCGTTACCACAGGTGTTCGATCAAGGTCTGAAAGCTATTTCGCTAAGCGTCGATCTGTGGCTCCATTACATCAACCACTGTAAAACCATCTATGAAAAGGATGAGGAGAAACTCCGGGAGCAGTACGAGAGAGCCATACAAGCTTGTGGGCTTGAGTTCAGGTAATCCGTCAGTGAATGCTCGCTGGTTTTTACATTAGATCTATATTTGCGTATATTATGGAAATTTTCTTCAATCAATACTATTTGTATAATTATATAAAAAAAGTAAATAACGCGCTTAATTGACAATAATAATACCTGTAATAATTTTAGAGCCAGTTCTTTTTTATTTATGAACGCATAACGAAATTTTGCGACTACGAATTTACTTCGATAATTAGCTTTGGAGATAACAATCGAATATGTACAAAAACAGGTCTGATCGTCTCTGGGAAAGCTATATAAAATGGGAACAGGAGGCGAAGCGCTTCAGCAGAGTGACAGCGCTGTACGATCGCTTGCTCTCGACGCCTACGCTCGCCTACACCAACCACTTTGACAGCTTCCAGGCTTTCGTCGATAATAACTTGCCAAATCGCATCCTGAGCGTGGATGATTTTCTTGCATTGCGCGCCGAAGTGAAAGCCCTCCTCAAATCGGACGACACCACCGCGACGTCTGCCTCCGATGATGCTCCGCCCGGTGAAGAACCGCCGCCTCATGAAGTGCCACCGACCGATGAAGAGACACGTGCCATTCGAGAGAAGATCATCAGCAGCAGACGCAAAATGCACAAAGCGAACGTCAACGCGGTGGCCGCAAGATGGTCCTATGAGGAGGGAGTACGTGACTATTTGATTACCACTACCATAAATGCTGACTTTGCAAATTATGAGACTTCTTAATTTCACAGCCTTAAAAAAGCATTTCACTGCTAAACAAACGAATAAAACATTTCGAGTCGATGCTCTAGAACTACTACGTATTCGCGCGGTAAATCTGGATTTGTTGTAGTAGTATACAGAAGTCAGTGTTTTACATGTTTTATGTTGTAAGTAAAAAAGAAATTATATTCCAAATTAAAGGATTTCAAGTTAATGAATTTGTCGATAATATAATACATATGAAATCCGAATTAATTGAAAAAATTGTGCGACGTAATATTAATCGTGGTGTCGTGTACGATTGACAGATAAAGAGACCGTACTTCCATGTGAAACCACTGGAGCGGTGTCAGTTGAAGAACTGGAAGGAATACCTCGATTTCGAGATCGAACAGAAGGATCAAAATCGTATAATCATCTTATTCGAGAGGTGTCTCATAGCTTGCGCGCTTTACGATGAGTTTTGGATGCGAGTAAGTAAAACTTTCGAGGTACATTTATTAACTTTCCAATGGCTAACATACCAATAATACTGTCAGCAGCATCATTATGTTAGAATTAAATGTATAAAACTTTTATCTTGCGTTTGTAGTTTGTGCGTTACTTGGAGTCATTGAAGGGCGATAACACAGAAAAAATCCGTGACGTGTATTCAAGGGCGTGTATGGTGCACCATCCGAAGAAACCGAATTTGCATTTGCAATGGGCTATCTTCGAGGAGGGCCAGGATAACTTTGAGAAGGCCGCTGCCATATTAGAAAATATTGATAATGTATTGCCGAATATGCTGCAAGTGGCGTACCGACGGATAAACTTGGAACGTCGTCGCAGTGATTTGGAGAAAGCCTGCACATTGTATGAGAATTACATCAGCAATAGCAAAAACAGGACGATTGCTAATAATATCGCCGTAAAATATGCACGATTCCTCTGTAAGGTCAAAAATGACGTTGACAAGGCAATTAAGATCTTGATGAAGGTATGTATAAATCGGATGTCTTTCTCAACGTGATTTGATGACTGTTGAATTCATCATAGTATTTATGCCGACAGTCTCTAACGGAATTTATATATAACCTTACGGTTTATCTTACAGGCTACAGATAAAGATAAAGACAATCCTAGACTATACCTGCAATTGATAGATTTGGGTATGCAGCGAACACCAGTCGACACACAAGAAATAGTAGGCTACATGGACATGTTCATAGAGAGGGAACATGCGGACCTCGAGCAGAGAGTGTTATTCGCACAACGCAAAGTTGAGTTCCTGGAGGACTTCAGCCCAGACATTCGACAGGTGTTGAAAGCCCACGAACAGTTTCAGAAATGCATTAAGCAAGCGAAGGAGAGAAAGAAGGCCAAGGGTGATGATAACAAAACGTAAGTAGTTGCGGAAGAACTAGAGGAAAAGAAATCGGCGATAGATAAATGGTTTCTATCGTTTATTGAAACTTAATGTAATTTTATTGTTAGATTTGACCATGTTATTGATATCTGCGAAACCTTATATTATCTAAATTGCTTTCGTTAAAAGGAAAATAATGAAATTGATATTACTTTCAAACTCGTTGCAGTGATTCATCGCCTCCGAAGAAAATCAAGACCGATCAGTCAAATGTGCCACCTCCACCGTCCGTAGGCTCACAATCTTCGTACCAATACAGCAGCAGCCCGAGCGGACCCTACCAATCGCAGCAACAGTTCCAAAGTGGTCAATACGGCGGTCAGGGTGGCTATCAGCAGGGTTACCAACAATATCCACCGCCATCAGATCCCAATTATGCTAACTACCAAAATTGGCAGTACGGCCAAGGTGGACCGCAGGCTTATGGACCTTACAACCAGTGGGGATCTTATAATTACTACTGAACAACCGCGCGATCATTTCCTCAAAATCGCCCCCCTAATATATGTTAATTTTCGTCCACTGTACATTCTAGCGTTTTATTCTGCTGATTTCGATTTCGAAGTCATCGGACGGAGGAATCAAGTCGTTTAGTATGCAAATGACGCATCGGTATCCTGATATTGAGAGCTTGTGTGTATCGATCATTGACTGCGGTTCCTTTCTGTATCGATATCTGGGGCTGTATTCCGTATATGTTCATTGACAGAGTCTGTTCGATAAGTTATTACGTGTGGCTATGATATGATTATTTTATGGTTTTATATAATTATATCTATAATACATGACAATACATCAAGCAGACAATTGTCAGTAAAATGTATATAGGATAACAGCTCTAATCAATTGCATGAATATATAATCGTATGTACCGAACAAACTGTATGCCGTTAGCAGAATTTGCACGTTACATGAATATTGAACATATTCTTCGAATAAGGCTGCCGACTTGAGAATACATCCTTGCGACAGTAACTTTCCTCAAGAAAAGGGAGAAAAAGTTTGAGCTATTTTACTCGAAACATCAAAAATTGGAATGGATATATAAAATCAGATAAAGATGTTTTATTTGGAAAAAATAGTGAAAAAAAAACGTGAGTGCAACCCTGCTACTGGTATACAGATTTTCTAGGATTCTATATGTGTTCACTTCAAAACGTTGCGATTCAATTAAATGTAACTGTGAATTTATCGCATCTACAATTAGGAGTGGGACCAAGCACGTTTGATAACAAAAAGCCTTAATAAACTATTTAATTTTTAAAACTATAGTTATAAACTATAGTTTTAAGGCTAATTTTGCATTGATAATTTAAACGTATATTTTTTGCTTCTAATATTATCAATCAAAATGATCATCTGTGTTTCGTAAAAAGACATTTTATGCATTGAAATTATTATGTCGGTATATTAGTAATATTAATATTATTTGCAACATGTTCAAAATTATTGCATGAAAATATAACATATTGTTCTTTCTGAAATAAAATATCAATTTTGCAGTGATTTCACGGTTAATTGCAGAAAATTCTTTATATATGTATGAGGAAAATTCTTGATTTTTAAGGTGCTAATTGATTTTAGTGAAATGATATTTAGAGCTGTCGGATGAAAAGAAATTCGCGAATATGCATATTGTACTTGGTCCCACCTCCATTCTCAAGATCATTAAAATAAATTTCGTAATAGCTGTTGCATAATATATACGCAATTCAAATACTTGCTATAATTTATGATGCACCGTATCGTGTTGAACGCATTACGAGTATTATATAGGGCACTTTCAAAATTGTACAAACTGTTATCGACATTACTTATCCTCTGTAAAGAAACTATCGTTTTATTTTTCTTGAAATTTTTTCTTTTTTCTCTTTGCGCCGGAAGCTACCTTTTGCTATTATTTCATGGATTTTGTTAAATGGCGTATATTAGAACATATCCTTTGTTAATCAACGAAGAAGACACGTTCAATAATTTTTACTGCCTCAAACTTGTGATTTTTCGACGAATGAAATTATATCCCACAATAGCTGTGTTTTCAGGAAATAAAAGTGAATCTACTTTAATTGCAATAAGTGCATTTTCATCAATCTTACGTGTTTCAGCTATATTATATAGATATATATTTAATATGTTAATTGTATGTTATATTTAATCCTGATGTTGCACCTAATTCATGGACGTGCGTAAATGTATCGTCTAAACTTAGATAAGGTAATTATAAATTCTAGGTAATGTTCAATCTAACCGAAACTCTCATACCTGCCAGTATTTGAATTGAAACATTTTGAGTTTTCCTTTTTATGTCTTCAACCGTGAGTAATTGATGAATTTTCAGGAAATTCTAAATTAAAATAGTAAAGAATATCAAAACGAAAGAGATTTGTTAATTTAACGTTTATGATGAATTGCAGTTTCTTTTGGAGATTTTCAAGAATAAATATTTCTTTAACATATAAGCGACGATATAATGTCGCAGTTATCCAGATATGCTCAGCGGCGCGATTCTTTAACTCGTTATTGGAGTTAACGGCACTTTCGTTATCGTTGCGCAGCTTTTGTATACCGTAGAAAAGCTGCGCAACGATAACGAAACTGTCGTTAACAATAACGAGTTAAAGAATCGCACCACTGATCTTCTAAATAACGATATGTATTAGTCATGCGTGCCCGTGCGCATATATAGTTCTTTACAATATTGTAGATTTTGTAAAATTATGATTTTATCAAATTTTACTAATTAATTAATTTCTTCCTATTTCGTAAAAATTTTATTCTGCATAAACTAAATAAAAAAGGAGAAATTTGTATGTTTATCTTGTACACTTTTTTTCTCTCGCAACGACTCTACGTCTTTATTGAAAGGGTTTAATGACGCCAGTCTAGATTTTAAACATGTTTACTGTTAAATTGACATGATTTCGCATAGTTAGCTTTTTATATTATCTCTGATAAAGTTTGGGCACTAATGCTCCACATATTCTTTATTTCTGAAATGAGCCCTAACACTTCAGTTTGAGAATCCATAAGCTGTATATAAAATCCTATGCTCTAACACTAAACGTAGAGTCGAAGCTTTGTTAAAATTCTTAACGCGAAGATTGATGGTCTCAAATAAACTTAATTCTAAAAATTACGTAAACGTCGCAGAAGTTATTCTTTATGCACAATTAAAATTTACTTCGTGAGATTCAACACTCGACATTTTCCGTAGCTCTAGCTCCAACATTATATATAACATATACATATATATATATATTGTTTTATATAAACATTTGCAAAAACATACTTTGAATCTCTTCGAACGAGTCAACAAGCAAACAGGATTGTCATAAACGATCATCATCATTTTTTTCTGGCTCGGTATAAATATACGCAGAAAATTAAATTTAACAAACCGAACTCTTGCGCAACATACACAACTAACTGGCCGCGGACGATTCGTAAGCTTGTCAAACATTCGTTAGGTTGAGCGCGACGTGTTTCTTAACGTTCACTAAATACGTAACGTCGACATCTATTGCAACGGAAGTCAAACGCGTATCTGTTTGTCGAATACTCGGCAGGCTTGCAAACGAATCGTTCCACACATAGTCGATATTAAGTTAGTAGAAAATCTCTCTATATATGTAGAACATCGTTTAGAACGAATATATAAGTTAATTGTCATGTAAAACTTATTAATGTAGTCAACCTCGGCATTAAACAACAACGGCGCTAGAGGCCATTGTATTGAGCCCACAAGTGCCGTCTCCGCGGTAAACTCTGTAATATCCTTGTTCGCCCCATCTGTCTCCCCAACTGTTCTTCACAATCCAATACGGTAGCTTCTTATGGAAGAGCGGATAGTCTGAAAAAGAGAACGCTTAATCAGTGTCTTTCCCACCTAAGAGGAATTCTAATTATTACTTGAGAAATGATTCAAGTGTCCATCTCCAAGAACCACCGATGCACAGATACTCACTACTCGTGCCATATCCGACGATCAGCACGCCGTGGTCCAAGTTCTTAGGATTGCAAAGGAATTTGAAAGGATGCGACACCCCGCCCATGTAGAACTGCATGGCGTTAGCATTGATGCCGATGGATATCGGACCGTTCGCCACCAGCCACTGCGCAATTTGCGTCTCGTTCGACGTGATGTTCACCGCAGAGCCCACCTGTACTTTGGCCATGTTCTTCTTGAAGTGACACCTCTCGTTCTCCGCCTCGTACGGATAATCCGACTCCAGTTCAAGACCACCCAGCTTCTCAATCGCCCTGTAAGCGTTATCGGGCAGACCCCCGTTGCAACCCTCGTCCAGATCGTCGCAGTCCACCAGCTCCTGTTCCGACAACGACAGCAGTTTGTTGTGCTTGATGGCGTATTGGCCTTCGACGTTGCCTGTCACCGAAAAAGCCCAACATGACCCGCACATACCCTGATTCTTCACGGGTGTGACGGCGCCTTTCTGTCGCCAATCGAAGCTATTCGGCAGCTCTATATCTGGAATCTCAGCCTGCCGTAAAGGAATATTGTTCTCCGTGCGCAGATCTGGTCGCAGACCAAGGTAAAATGCGTGGAACTCTTCGGTCGACACGTCGGCGAACTGGTTGACACCGTATTGCCCGGTCCCTTGCTCGTTCTTTCGTAGCAGACGTATAATACCGAGGTTCTCACGGAATATCGAGAGCCGTAGGTTCCTCTCTTCCTCTGTGGCGTATGTTCGATTATATGTGTTGACGAAATTCTCGAATAATCGTTCGCTCCTCATGTCCTCCGCGATACGCAGCATTTTCTCATTGTAATTGGTGCCGCGTAACGATCGTTCCTTCCTATGACTCTTCTCTGGTGGAGGACACTCCACCGTTATCGACGGCTCACCGTTATCGAGCCATGGCTGCGACAACACCGATATCTGGCAATCCTTCACCTCGCTTCCAGCTTGCAACTGACAGTTGTTTTTGGTACCTTTCGGACAGTTGCTAGTACCCATCCTGACTGTGATCTTGTGAAGTCTACCCGCGACTGTTTGAACGGTCGCTTTTACAATCTCCACTACAATTGGTTCGTTCGGTTCGTTCGATTCATGCGAGACTTTGCGCAACGCTTTCTCGACATACATCTGAACGCCAGAATCGTTGACGGATATCGGTGAGGGTGCACCAAGCAGTTGTACTTGCGGGGACCGTTTCTGTCTATTGACGACATTCCGGTCAGTTGCCTTCTCGACCATCTCTGGTGGAGGAGGACACTCCACCGTTATCGACGGCTCACCTTTATCGAGCCATGGCTGCGACAACACCGATATCTGGCAATCCTTCACCTCGCTTCCAGCTTGCAACTGACAGTTGTTTTTGGTACCTTTCGGACAGTCGCTAGTACCCATCTTGACCGTGATCTTGTGAAGACTACCCGCGACTACTTGAACGGTCGCTTTTACAATCTCCACTACAATTGGTTCGTTCGGTTCGTCCGAATCATGCGAGACCTTGCGCAATGCTTTCTCGACATATATCTGAACGTCAGAATCGTTGACGGATATCGGCGAGGGTGCACCAACCAGTTGTACTTGCGGGGATCGTTTCTGTCTATTGACGACGTTCCGGTCAGTTGCCTTCTCGACCATCTCTGGTGGAGGAGGACACTCCACCGTTATCGATGGCTCACCTTTATCGAGCCATGACTGCGACAATACCGATATCTGGCAATCCTTCACCTCGCTTCCAGCTTGCAACTGACAGTTGTTTTTGGTACCTTTCGGACAATCGCTAGTACCCATCTTGACCGTGATCTTATGAAGACTACCCGCGACTACTTGAACGGTCGCTTTTACAATCTCCACTATAATTGGTTCGTTCGGTTCGTCCGAATCATGCGAGACCTTGCGCAACGCTTTCTCGACATACATCTGAACGTCAGAATCGTTGACGGATATCGGCGAGGGTGCACCAACCAGTTGTACTTGCGGGGATCGTTTCTGTCTATTGACGACGTTCCGGTCAATTGCCTTCTCGACCATGAAGTTCTCCGCTCGTACTTTCTTTCGCTTGAACTCTCCCTCCTTCATAGACTCGGGAGTCACATGTTCCACTTTCACGGGTACATCAAAGTCCTCTAAGAATTCACCAAATTCTTTCGTTTTGTCGAAGAAGCCCTCGTTTTTCTCATCATCTTGGCTGCGGTTCAATAAGATTTTTACTATCGTCGGCTCCGTCACTGCTCTCTTTGAACTGGTCTCTTTGGATTCCGAACTTATCTCCGGCGATGTCGGTGCGTGTGTGTAATTATCTAGTATGTCTTTCAGACCTTCATAAGCATCCTTCAAGGGTTGCCCTTCATCGTATTTGACCGTCATTTGCGACAAACTCTCCGAATCCGGTTGCTGGGATAGATTGTTGGAGCTGGATACGTTCTCCGGGCTTGTGCAATTGTTCTTAGTGATCTTCAAGCCTGTCTGTTGCCATGGCTGCTGCTCAAATGTGATTAGACACAATTTCGCCGGTACGTCCACCTGCAGAGGACACTCATCTTGTTCCAAGGCATTTTTCAAACACTCGGACTCACCGATCAGCAATAGTAGCTGATATTGTATTACGTTGGACGAGACAGGCACCGAGCGAGTGACTTTTACGATCTTAATTAACTTATGTTTGTAATCGCCCGTGGACTGCTCGTCCATTGACTTCAGTGCTTGCTTCGAGAATGGCAAAAGACCCATCAGCTGCGGGTTCAGCTCATATGGGCAACCCGGACAGTAACTGGGGTTGGAGGCGCGCATGGCGATGAATGGTCTGACATTCTCGTCACCGGTCTCCTGAACTTCGTGGTATAGCTCGACGCTTCGGTTATTGTTCACCTGTTCGGCCAAGCTCTCCGTAACCTGAGAGTCTTCCTGCTCCTGATAGCTCGTGCTTTGATCGCCTTGCTGCTCTTGCGACACTTCATTTTGTGCATCGGCCGGGTAGAAGTACATGCATTGAATGGAGTCATTCAACGTCTCTATCTCGCCGTTCTCGTCTTGTTTCAAATCGATGGTGCAAGCTTCTTTAGGACAGGGGCTTCCTGAAACTGGAGATTCGGCTCCACATATTGGGCTCAAGTTATACGTGAACTTGTATATCTTATAAGGCGGCTCCACCTGTAGTAAGGGGAACAAGGGAATTAGTTCAGGTTAGTATCAGAATATTATTATATGCAGTAGAGAGTATAACATATTCTATAAGGACAGTAATCTACTGCGCAATAACACTTTCCACATATTTTTCCAGCAGACTAGTACAACTTGACCTGATAACCCAGAACGTTATTATCACAGTTTATCATCACTTCGGATAAATACATAGAAACATATGTATATATGCTAACGTGGCAATAGAGGAGTACATTTATGTATGTATTACTGTGTCAAGCAGTGGCACAAATAAAATAAAATGCTATCTTATCCAACTCTTCACAAGGAGATTCGTTAAAATTATACATTCATTATTTTCGAGTGAACAAAACCATAGATTTGCAACAGCTTATTCCTTCTCTTGTTAATACTGTTATAGTACGGTTATAACTGTTGTAGTTAATTACAAAATTACATGTTGTCCCAAAGTAGCAATTTATTATAGTTGTATATTTTATTCTAACTGAGATAACTAATTTCACATTAAATTAAGTCCTTGTAATTTTAACAATTATTTTCTAGATAATAAATCATTCTTGTTAATTCCTTAATGTCCATTTTTAATATTGCACAGAAAATTTTATGCTGTTTGCTAATAAAGAAATTCTTTAAATCTTGTCAATATTATCTTTACCAATTTCTTTCTTATAATTTTGTTAGACTATAATATCATAAAATATCTTCTAATTACTGTTGATCAGAAAATTTATAACTTTTCCTTATATTAATAATATGATTTTCCTTCTTTTATATCATGTAAAAGAGTAAACATGTTTTTCTAACACTCAAAGATTCATGTTTTCATTTCATCCATTCATTAAAAACATGATAAATAGATATATATATATAGTATTTATAATTCAATTTTTACACTGATAATCCAATGGCAAACAAAGAATATAATTTGCTTATCCTCCAAATGTTATCAGAGTCATATTTTTTATATATAGTGGCATAACTCAACAATCTCTCAAAAAAAGAAAAAATAATAATAGACCATCATATAACTGGAGAACAATCTTTCATCTATCTTCGACGTCAACTTTCCATTTAAAAATAAAATTTTACCTAGCTGTTGACAAAGTGCAACTTGTCACCAAACAAAGAGAAACTATTACATACGCATGTTGTTAAAGCGAACAAAGGAAACACGTAACGGAGAGAACAGCATACGCTGTGAGATCTCTCGACGTGTCGGACATAATACATTGTAACTGGCACGAAAATTTCGCAATTCTACGGGCGTCACTCACCAATTCTTGCGCATTTATTAGATTGCCTTGCGCGTACAGATGATGTGTCGGCGAATGCTCGTTCAAGGCGCTCCACGCCCTCTCCCATAGTGTCAACGGTACCTGATTCACTGGGATATTGACAGGGTTTGACTGTACCCGCGCCAACAACAAATAGCCCAGATAAACGTATACGAGGAAACCCATTGCGCGTCGATTTCGAGCTGCCATTTTTATAGGACACGCGTACAACCACACTACTTACTCGACTACTCTCGAACAACTGAATGTCGCCGCAATTGACGCGCTTGTCGGCCTATCTCTCGCCCCTCTAACCCTTCCATTTCCTCCTCTACACTTTCTATACCTGCAACGAGATACATTGGAGATTTTCCGAGAAAGAAAAAGAGAGAGAGGGGGGGGAGAGAGAGAGAGAGAGAAAGAGAGTGTGTGTGTGCCTGTGTAACAAATCGCTGAGCATGCACGAAAAGAATAGACGACACAATAATAATAAATAAAGATATGTATATCTGTGAGTTGTATTTTCTACACCTTGCTTATAAAAAGATAAGATATTTCATAATCGAATTTCACGAATTCACAGAACGAGGAGAAATCTCGAGATAAAATACGTAAAATGCGACTGAGCGAACGGACCGAATATCACTATGTTACGTATTAAAGTCGATAATTTGTGTGCGACAAAAGTTTATGCCGAAAAGATGAATGTCTGTAAAAAATATACTAATATATTTACCAGGCGACCAGATAACATTTGAAATTGATAACGCGCTTGCCCGACTAAATAAAGATACGTGTGATGAATAAAGATATGTATATTCGTACAGACGTACTGAATATTCGTACAGACGTACTGCGTTTTATTTTTCACTGATATGTTACATGTTTAATTGCGCTGACGAACGTAGCGATAAAATAGCCGTAGAAAGTAAAAATTTACTCAATATTTTATCTACCTTTAATCTATATACGTCTCCATGCATGGTATAGACGGCGAACGTCTTGGCTCGCGTTGAATCACAAATGATTATAATCGCAAGTCACATATATTGCGTGTTATGCACAAGGTGAACGGGAACGCGCGTTTATTCACTTATGTCGGACTCAGAGTGATCAAACAATCTTGCATGAGATACGGAGAAAAACTGAATTTCGACGTAGAATGTTATTATAAACGTTGAAACCACGTTTAATAACATCCGCCTTATTTGTTACGACATTCTCGTCTTCCTCTTTCAATGAAAAATATTTCTCTGAGAACAATTTTGATACATTTGCTTGTTTATATTGTAAAGAAAAACATGTATTAGCGTTATTCCTGCAGTTCATAAGATTCGTCTGAAAGAACATGGCGAACTTCTTGAAGAGTGAAGAATCCTTCTTGCCGTCTCTAGCATCACGTTTCCGATTTCGTTCCTCGAAGAGAAATTTGGTATTCGCTTCCGTTAGAAATTCTCTGACGTCCGCATTTTTTGTATGTTACTTTTTTGTAGTATAAGACTCTCTGGGTGTACTTCTGCATCATTTTACGTACGGCTTTACGTAAGCTAAGTATAGTACATGTAACATGATTATTATCGTATTCGCACTTTTATACGAACACGAAGCCACAGCTGCTAAAAGAATTACGTTCTTTATTAGCGCCTTCTTACCGCTAAAAATAAAAATTCTTTGTCGTGCCTGACATGCATCGTCAATTATAGGAATAGATTAGTCATCTGGAATACGAGTGAATAAGCGACCCAGTCAGCAGACCTTTAAAAAGCGTCCTAAGTACATCCTGAGAACGTCCCAACGTTCTAAAAACGTTCCCAGGATGTCCTTTGGAGATTTTGCGCTGTTTGAGGAATAAGTACGATGATGACTATTCGATGCATATTAATTACCGATATTATTGCACGTATTTTCTTACAAAGACGATAGGCTTTACAACAAAATCTAATAATGAGATTTTATATATGAAAATAGGCGTATATATTTTTTCTAACTAAAAAATTAAATATATTTTAAAATATATTTTTTAACTAAAAAATTAGCACAATTTCAATTATTTCATGATAAATATTTAATTTATCAATTTATACGCTTATGTAAGGTTCAAAAGAAATATTTGTGTTTTTTATCATTAGTTATAGAAATAACATAAGTATAATAAAAATTATTAAGATTATTTTTAATTCTAGTATATAAATTGTATTACTTTCTTCCTTCTAATTATTTTACATTCTACTTTGCACCAGAGAGGAACGTGAAAGCGGCTATAACACGGCATTTTCTGCGACATCGACTTTCCGCACTGGGACGCCATCTACATTTATTTTGAGAGGGTAACTACGATACTATATCTACTTTCAGGTCTCGGCGGTAAAACCTGCATGTGATGGCAGTCCGTGCTACATCCACTTTCAGGCAGTTTATGTCCGTACTACAAACATAATAGCGTACTTGACAAGCACGGTTTTGCACATTGTTACACGTTTATAACATGAATTAACATGTTAACATGTGCAAAAAAAGAATTGACATTGTGTATGATTAATATCATGAAGATCATACGAAGTGTCCGGTAATTAGCTGCCAACCAGAGAGGAAGCTGAGAGCCAACACGGCGTTATCGGCGACACCGATTTTTCGCACTGGGAATGGGCGCTATCTGCATCCATTTTGAGAGGGGAACTACGATGCTACATTCACTTTTAGGTCTCGACGGTAAAACCTGCATCTGGTGGCTGTCCGTGCTACATCCACCCTCAGGCGGTTTATGTCCGTGCTACAACCATAATAGCGTACTTGACAAGCACGGTCTCGCGCATTGTTATGCATTTGTAACATGAATTAACATGTTAACATGCACAAAAAAAATAAGAATTGAGATTGTATATGATTAATATCATGAAGAATATATACGATTTATATCGATATATAAATATATGATAATAAGATAATATTTTGTGTGTACCCAAAATTATTTTTCCAAAATATTTCAGCGTTACGTTAGTATTAATTTATACTCTGGCAGGCGTTTTTTAGCGCAGTTCTGTCCGTGTGCATGTGTCCCCCGGGGGGCTTATGTAAGCCCCACGGGGAACATTTTTGTTTAAATAAAGTTTTAAATATTGTCTAAGGTTAAAGTTTTCCAACATTTCTCCGTTGATACCTCAGCTTCTACTGGGAGTAGAGAGTCGTCAATGTAGTCGAAATTGTAGGGTTTTGAGAGGACATTATTTTGGTGCCAGAACCAGGCCTGTATCTCTAACCGTTTAGGAGATATCGAAGGTTAAAGTTTTCCAGCCATTCTCCGTCGATATCCAGCCTTCCTCCGTCGATATCTCCGCTTCTACTGGGAGTACAGAGTCATCCATGTAGTCGAAAATGTAGGGTTTTGAGAGGACTTTAATTTGGTACCAGAGCCAGGCCTGTATCTCTAACCGTTTAGGAGATATCGAAGGTTAAAGATTTCCAACCTTTCTCCGTCGATTTCCAGCCTTCCTCCGTCAATATCTCCGCTTCTACTGGGAGTAGAGAGTTTGCCTTGTAGTCGAATATGTAGGGTTTTGAAAGGACTTTAATTTGGTACCAGAGCCAGGCCTGTATCTCTAACCGTTTAGGAGATATCGAAGATTAAAGTTTTCCAATCTTTCTCCGTTGATATCTCCGCTTCTACTGGGAGTAGAGAGTCGTCATTTACGGGAAAATGTAGGGTTTTGAGAGGACTTTATTTTGGTGCCAGAACCAGGCCTGTATCTCTAACCGTTTAGGAGATATCGAAGGTTAAAGTTTTCCAACCTTTCTCCGTTGATATCTCCGTTTCTACTGGGAGTAGAGAGTCGTCAATGTAGTCGAAAATGTAGGGTTTTGGGAGGACTTTATTTTGGTGCCAGAACCAGGCCTGTATCTCTAACCGTTTAGGAGATATCGAAGGTTAAAGTTTTCCAGCCATTCTCCGTCGATATCCAGCCTTCCTCCGTCGATATCTCCGCTTCTACTGGGAGTACAGAGTCATCCATGTAGTCGAAAATGTAGGGTTTTGAGAGGACTTTAATTTGGTACCAGAGCCAGGCCTGTATCTCTAACCGTTTAGGAGATATCGAAGGTTAAAGATTTCCAACCTTTCTCCGTCGATTTCCAGCCTTCCTCCGTCGATATCTCCGCTTCTACTGGGAGTAGAGAGTTTGCCTTGTAGTCGAATATGTAGGGTTTTGAAAGGACTTTAATTTGGTACCAGAGCCAGGCCTGTATCTCTAACCGTTTAGGAGATATCGAAGATTAAAGTTTTCCAATCTTTCTCCGTTGATATCTCCGCTTCTACTGGGAGTAGAGAGTCGTCAATGTAGTCGAAAATGTAGGGTTTTGGGAGGACTTTATTTTGGTGCCAGAACCAGGCCTGTATCTCTAACGTTTAGTAAATATCGAAGGTTAAAGTTTTCCAAGCTTTCTCCGTTGATATCTCCGCTTCTACTGGGAGCAGAGAGTCGTCATTTGCGGGAAAATGTAGGGTTTTGAGAAGACTTTAATTTGATGCCAGATATAGGCCTGTATCTCTAACCGTTTAGGAGATATCGAAGGTTAAAATTTTCCACCTTTCTCCGTTGATATCTCCGCTTCTACTGGGAGAAGAGAGTCGTCATTTACGGCAAAATGTAGGGTTTTGAGAGGACTTAATTTTGGTGCCAGAAACAGGCCTGTTTCTAATAAAATTGGTTTTTAATAAACCAATTAGTTTTCTTCATTTCCTTCCCAGGACAGAAATAAAGAACTCTGATTGGTTGATTCTCTTATGCGTTGTGTATTATGCGTTATGCAGAAGTCTGTGCTCTGGCCCTAAAGGCCTATTCAGACAAACTTGCATAAACACGTAACGCATATGCATAAGGAAATTGACTAATTATGATCCGTGTAGTAAAAAAATGTTTTTTGTATTAAACATACGATTAGTCAATTTCCTTATGCACATGCGTTACGCACTTATGCAAATTTGTCTGGATAGACCCTTAGGCCCTTTGCACAATGCCAGGCAACAGGCAATAAGAATAAAAATAGACCAATCACAATCGATATTACAAGAATAATCTATTGTGATTGGTCTATTTTCATTCTTATTTGCCTGTTGCCTGGCGTTGTGTTTAGGGCTTTAAATTGGAACGGTAAAGTCATTCAACTTTTTTTATTAGATGGGATACTTCATTCTCTTAAGGATAGTAGCGCACCCTGGTGATTCCGGAGGAGCAGCACTGGAAACTCTTGACCATCATTTGAGTTGCTACCTTCTCGTTCCTGAACACGTGTTTATATGTGTCTGAGAAGATGAGACAGGACGTAGAAATGAAGGTTAACATTATTGAATCGGTAGACGAAACAAAATTTGAAGGAAATGCGGGATGGGCGGATGTTATGCAAAAAATTTTAAAAACAAAAAAGCCAAAGAGGAAACAAACAGTGGTTTTAGCTAAGGCAAAGAAGTTGTGTGATGTGAAGAAAATTGAGAAAAAAGAAAATATCTCTCTTGAAATTGACAATGTTGAAGATCAAGTTGCAATAGATCTAAAAAAAATAAATAATGAAGTGAAACTTACTGCACAGGCAAAGCCAAGAAAAAAAGAGAAAAGTCTTGGCATCAGGGTCAAACCATGTATTACAGACAGAGAGCGTGAACGAATGCTGCAAAAAATTGCTACAAAGTAAGTTATAATTGCAAAGTCCTCCTAGCTATTTTGTAATTTGCAAATAGATTTTCATTGTTACATTTTATAGAGGGGTTGTACAACTGTTTAACGCAGTGAGACAGCAGCAAACAGATATAAGCAAGAAATTGTCTCAAGCAGGATCATTAGAAAGAAAACGTGAACAAGTACTGAAAAATGTTGATAAAAATGCTTTCCTAGATATTTTGATGGGTAAAGCTAATAGTATATCAGTTGATAAGACTCTTGAACCTGAGGAAGCAGTTAAATCCACAGAAGATAAAGGCAAAGTAAGTCAAATATTCAATTTACCGTATTAATTAAATAGATCAGCAATAATGTTTAATATATCAATATACACGAGAAACATTGTTCATTTATCTTTTTTAACAGAATATTTTAAAGTAAAATATGTTTAGTAAATATATTAAGTATACATTACAAATTTTCATAAATTTCATGATACATTTATGAAGGCCACATGTACTCTTGTTTATTGATATTGTATATATCTTTTTTTATATTACAATATATAATTGTACATAACAATGAAAACATTTTTGGTTTAAGGATGACAAAATATGGAGTGTTCTCAGAGATGATTTTGTCATGGGGGCTAAGTTAAAAGACTGGGACAAGAAAAATACAGATGATGAAGATTCTTCTGCTCCTGAAGATATTGATACTGATGATTAATTAAAATAAAAGTATTCTTTATGTAAATTCCTTAGTAGGAACCAAAAATGGTCAACAGTAATAATTTTTAAATGAAAACTACCAAAAAATCTTACTATTGTACAGGATCCTGATTGTATATTCAAAAATTGCATTTTCACTCACGAGAGTCATTTTCAGAGAATAAGATAGCGTATCAAGCCATACCAAATACATGTCATTTAATTATTTTTTGCAGTATAAGCAATGCAATCACCTAATTGATTATAAATAAAATGTAAATATAGAATGTATATATTTATTGGTAGTATCTTTGGGATAAATTTGTAAATATATAATGGAATTAAAAATTACAAGTTATCAATTTATTAATTTGTGCACTTATATGGTTACAACTAGCTTTGCCTTCCCCTTCCTATCAAAGTGGTCAAGAATAAGTATAATATAATTTTATTAGTTAGAAATAACAATATATATACAGAGTTTAAATTCTCTCTTTTATATATAACCATGTAATTATCAAGAAAAGGTTTATTGATATTGTTTGCATTCAAGGATTTATTTTCCATAGAATAAAAGATTTATATTTTTGTCTATAAAGTGAATTTTAAATAAGGGAAAAAGAAGCTTGGTCACACAAAAAATCAGACGTCTTAAAATAAAAATTCCATTGTTTGTATTCCTTTCTCATGTAGCACTCTAAAAACTAGGAAGGCACACAGTATTATGCTTCACGCAGGATTTTATTCTCTTGGTATCTCTCGTTGGTGATTCTTCCTTACGATACACGGTAACAGTGATAACGTGTACAACTTATAGTTCTCTCTATAATTATCTTACATATATAATGTGTATACAAGAAGTATATCTAAAATCAACTGTTATCTCGTTCTGATTTTTGATACATATGTGGTTCAATTTAACGTTTTGATACTTCGCTGTATCTGATTATCCAACTTTAACACACATCACACTTTTCTGAAACAATCCCTTAACACGTCATACCTTCTCTCTCTCTCTCTCTCTCTCTCTCTCTCTCTCTCTCTCTCTCTCTCTCTCTCTCTCTCTCTCTCTCTCTCTCTCTCTTTTTCTCTAAACATATACATACATACATACATACATACATATATATATATATATATATATATATTTATTTAATTCTTCCTCTTAATGTTTTGCACAAATCTAAAGTCAGTTTCTTTTTCTTTAACTATAATTTTATGTTATTTCCACCTCATCACTTTTGGTAAACACTAAAGTCGTTAGATGCATTCACAGTGGATAGTACTTAAGAATGCGCAACTTACTCAAGTTGCGGAGATAGTGCTTTTTAGAACTAATAAAACAAATAAACAAACATATAATAATATCAGTTGACGATTCTGCGCTTGTAACTCATGTATATAAAATCAAAGAAAAAAAAAAGAGTCACACTAATTAGGATTAAATCACTATTCGAGAGACGTATGTTCAAATCGATGCTCGTGAAACTTAAGTGCACTCGTTAAAGCCTGGACGGACTTAACTAACTTCGCTGAAATTCTTGTACAGAGTTTAAACGCAACTTTTCGCATACGAAAGTATTTTTAGATTACGTCGACGTTTCATTGTCGAGAAAGTGGTCGCGCAGGTTTATTCTTCCACTATGTAATGCCATTTTTCATATGATATACTCATCAATATTTATCTCTATCTATATTGATTTGTAAGAGAATAACAACTGTTCAATGTTTTACACCAAGTTTTTTCTGATTCACTCTTCGACTACCACACGTGAAATTTTCTTTCAAGATCCTATCAAACAAGAAAATTCGTTCCATAGAGAATGATCGTTCGTTAGAAATACACTGTGTGTATGTGTATATGTGTGTGTGTATACGTAGTGTGAGGATTTTTACTACGTTGTCACGTACAATTATTATATTGTCACATATACAGTTAAAAACATCGTCGTAAAGTCTTTCGTATAATACGATATTTATCCTGATTTCGTATCTTCAACTTTTAATTCAAGATTTCAGTTTGCACCTAAACGTATATTTTGGAATATTTTAACGATTTCTCGTGGAAATTTGTCACATGGCAATTTCCATTTGTCACCTGACTTTTGTGCAAGTCTTATTCGTCGTGCGAGACGTGTGTAAAATGTATTAGTATAAAGGGCTCTCTTCTTAACGTAAGGCACAAAGAAAATCTCATCGTTTCTTATAAGTGAGGATACTATAATTCTTTCTTTCACTTAATGAAGGAAATGAAAATGATATTGGCAGATTCCTGTTGTGCTCGATTTAGTTATTATTCGTGAAAAACAGGAGAAATTCTGTGTGCCTTCAGACTCAACGAAATTGATCCTGAGCCCTTATTACCAAACATCGAGGCATTGCGCGCAATTTTAAGTTCATATTACACTCTACTCTCGCGAATATCAGCGAGTGCGCCAAAGTTACCAGCTTCCTCGTCGAGATATTGAGCTCCCTCGGCTTCACCTTGACCTCTGTCTTCGTCCTCTAGTAGTCGTCTGTTTCTAGCAAAATATCTGGGGTCGCCGTCGACAACGTTGCGGTTCGCTTCGTCTTGCACTTGAGCATTATCTAAGTGCGGATTCCTAACATTCTGATCCTCACGGTACAACCGAGGTGGCTGATCCTCGTCGACGTGTCTGTCTCGCGAAATCTCGACCTCCTCGGGCTCGGCTAATCTGATGAAGGCAGCTACGGCCTCGTTTTGGTCTACCTCGCGATTCAACGAACTTCTGCGGCTGTCTTGGCTCAGTCTAGAGACACTTCGGGCGTGATTCCTCGTGTTCATCAGCTCGTTGCCGGAATTTCTGACAACCTGATGCTCCACAGCCTGTCGCCTCTCGTTGTTTCGACTGGTGTGCCGTAAGTTCTCATTTTCATCGACAGGCATACGGAAGGACATCTCGTCGTGAGACGCGTGGAAGGTTTCGAGATTCGCGTTGCTCAACACTCGTGGTATCATCTCCCGGCTGAGTCGATAAACACCCAGTTCGTTGTCCACGTAATAGTTGTCCAAAGGATTACTGATAATGGACGGATTGCGCGAGACATTCCGCCGAGGATAGCTTTGCAAGCTGGACAGGCTCGTCACTGTAGCGTAAGGATGATACGGCATCGAGTTCAACGGGTTGCCGACGATGTGCGGGTAGTTCTCCAAGCTTTGCATCTCGATCTCTTCCTTCCCGTCGCGGCAATAGCCGTGCATGTCGATCTCATGCGGCAGATTCGCAAATCTATGGGGCAAGTTAAATTTGGCAGCTCTTTAAAATCACAAATGAGCGAGTAAAGATTTTAATTTGAAATTTATTAGGAATGGGCGAAACTTGAGGCAACAAATAAATTTGTACATCTAACAATATATCAGTAGTGTTATCTATCCTAACTATATAATTTTCTTCTGCAGGTGAAAGAATGATGTACCTGTGCAAGAGAATATCGGAATAAGAGGGAGGCATGTCCGTCTCTTCCTTGCCGTAAATGCTCTCATAGGTGGGCGGCGGGAAGCATCCGATAGATCCTAAGCTATCTTTACTGGGTGTCTCAGCATCCATCTCAATGCTGCCCTGGCTGCTTTGCAGCTGATGACGATTCACTGTTCGTGGATTCCTCTGTGCGCGTAGCACGCTATCACCCAGTTCCACTAAATCCAAACCTGCCAAGAAACAAGTCATCTTGTGTATATATTTGAAAAGATACATCCAAATATTTCGATTAAAATAATGACTGCATTGGTTGGACGTATTATTGTCTCTACATAATTTAATCAGTCGTTTAAGAAATAGCAATATTATTTTCCACAATTTCAAAGCATTACACTTCATTTCTCCATCTTTTCATGCAGTTCTGAAATATTTCTTGAATATTTGAGAACAACTCTTTATCTTTGAATAAGTTAGCGTTACAATTTCAGTCAAGTTCTCTCTTAACTATCTATCAGAATTTTATTTTTTACTCATCTACATTTTTTCTTCAAGCGACTGATTTCATTTTATTGTCGCAATCGATATTCAATACCAACACGAGGAACTAAGCTTTTACCCGTGGGATCAGTCTGGAACTGTGTAAAGATCGTGCCGTCGACGACTAGCATTCTACCATGCGGTAAAAGGATGATGGTCGGCGTTGCCACCATGGCCTGATCGCTGCCGCCGAATCGTGGATCGGGCTCGGGATCTTCTAGACGACAGCAGCAATGCCGTCTGCACAAGGAACGGCAGAACGGCGCGCCCCAGCAACAATAAGCGAAGATGAAGCAGAGGACGGCGAGCATCACCAGGAGGGCGGCCACCCCTTGGCCTTGTTGGGCGGCCGCGAGGGTCGGTCCACCAGCGACACCAACGCCGACACCGAACCCACCGCTGCTACTCATTTCGCCTACGATCAATTATTCATTAGTAACAGCAATTAATTAACCCTCCTCTTACCGACTATAGCGTTTAGTTCTATAACGTTTTTTTTTCACAAATGAAAGTAGAATGGTGTATGCGAGGTGTGTCGGTTCTAACGAGCTATCTTTCACTTTTCACACATACATACACGCGACTTCTTAATTAGTTCTTGTCACTGAAGTTTAATTTGTCGAAAGCCTTGTATTCTCTAATTATTTACAAACTACTCTGATCGGGCAGAAAGTCCAAACTCTGATCTCGTGTTAATAACTCGAAAATATATTTCGAGTTATTAACACGTTCTTGAACACAACTTTTATAATGTTCCTTAGCTAATATTCTATAAATTAAATGAAGACATTGTCTAAGTCAAATGAGAATGCTCGTTAATTTGTTCAAATGATAACTTTTATAACAAATGGCGTATATAGTCTTATAAGTTGCGTTTAAAGATAAATTTAAAAGTTTCATGCATTCGTTATTATCTTATTTTTCCGCGTTAATATCGGCAGAAATATATATTCCAATTACTTCCTGCTCAATGCAAAGCCTATGAATAATGATGAGTCTTATGTAAATTCAGGTGATAACGCTGATGTCACGCGTGGGCTCTCTCTTATGCTAATAGACCGAATTTCATAGCTTTTTTTCGTCCTGTCCGAACGATGGACACATGGTGAAAGTGACGTTTTATGCGCAAGTCGTAATATATTACACCATTGCCGGCGAGAGTAGGGCAGGCATTGGACAGTCGATCAATCGTGCGCTCGCGTGTAAAGAAGTTTAACAACAATCGTCTAATCTCCACGAGCAGCGGCGCTCTGATTAAAAATATCGCTAAAAAAGAAAATGTAAAAGTTTATTGATAAAAAATTAATCGGTCTTGAGGAACTCGAGAAAGTGATGTTGCAAGCGAAGTTGTATCGCCGTTCTATCATAATACGATAATTTGTGAACTTATATAAAATTTATCAATTTCTATTATTTATAATATAAAAGAGTTGCGTTCAGCACATCACACATTCATATCATCGTTGTATAGCGTAACATAAATTTTCTTTTCAACTAAAAGTGACGAAAACACAATAAGAGATTCATTAGGATTATTTAGTCATTCATTTCGCTGTAACATTTTAAACAGTATGTAATGGTCTAATAATACGTTCACTCTCGTTCAATAATTCAGCCTCGTTATATATCGTTGTCGAAGGTGCGAAGCGAGTTATAATAATAATAAACTGCGTAGGTAGTTTTTAAAAAGATCGCGCAATCGAAGTAAACATTCTTATCGGCGTTTTGTTTGCGTATCACACTGGGAGGAATAATAATTCGCTCGCTTCTGGTATGTATCTATAAATTTCGTATGATTAATGAACATACATTATAATTATCCTTGCCGTCAATCTTCGCTCTCATACGCTTATGCAAAGGAACGAAAGAAAAAAATCAACGTTGTTATTGTTATTTTAGTTCGATTTGTGGCCTATATTGGAGGCTACGTCTTATTATTTGTCTTATGGTTTTATGTTTTATGATTTTATATTGATACTTATATTCTGTGACATAGTATCGAATTATTAATATCAGCGTTATAGTTCGTCGTCAAGTTTACATACTGCTCACGTGATATTTTCATAATTATTGCAAAACCTAAGTTTTTTTGGACCTACATTTGTAATTGCACGAATTTATCAACTGTGAGCGAATTTTACAAAGATTTCAATAGGGTCAACAACCGCGCGAACCGATGTTGTGGACAAATGTCATATTATGACCAACGAAATTACGAAATTAAATAATTGAAGCAATTCTCAGTTTATCTCTTGACTACCGTATGCCTCAAAGAAAGAGAGAGATGTATTGACTTCGTCAAAATAATATTTAATCTCTTTTAATTATTTACCTTGGGTGGTGATATTATGAAGCCAAGCGGTCCCCGTGGTGGTGATTGACTCCGTGACTCTGCGCGATCCGTAAACCATGAAAATGATTGAGGATTCGTTGGATCCCTCTGAGGATCCCTCGTGGAAGAGAAGACTATGTCTCCTTGAGAGAAGCCCTAACGCGATCACATGGACGCATGGTCTTTAACATACAGATCGACGACGGGATGCGCATCTGCCGCATGAACGACGCATCTTCCTCACGACATATCGCGGAGCATGTCGAGACGCATCGAGCATCGGCTACCTCGGCTCGTATTCGCGAGCGATTAATCCATGAACGTCGACATCGTGGTGTTCTTCGCGAATTTAGATACGTTTAACGAATCTATGTTGATTGTTTGAAGCACGTACAGTACAAAGAACACACACATATGTAGTTGGCGCGTAAGACTTGAAAAGTGTGCAATTTTCGATACGATAAGAGAAGTCAGATTTTACACACTTACTTCGATTACACGGTGTATCACATACGAACGGCACAGTCCACAGTCTGCAGGTTATAAGAGCCGGCTTCTCTTCGCTCGAATTTAATTTGCGCGATAACACTCGATATATCACTCACGCCGATTTCTCGTGATTTATTCGATGCGGAGCGCGTCAAGTGGTGACTGCCACACTGCCACCGCCGAGGCACTCTTGACCCATTTCTACAATGTCCCCACTTTGTATATCAACCTGCTGTTCTTCGGCTCCGGTGCTATCTCTATTTCCCAATCAGGTATGGCACTCGTCACGACCTCGTCGAGAGGCTCTCCTGTCGCTCTCGCCAACCCCCCAGCCGATACTCCGCAACCCCTTGGATCATTACACATACACATACGTATACACACACACACACACACACACGCACGCACGCACGCACGCACGCACGCACGCACGCACGCACGCACGCACGCACGCACGCACGCACATACACACACATACACACGCGCGCGCGCGCGCGCACACACACACACACACACACACACGCGCGCGCGCGCGCACGCACGCACGCACGCACACGCACACACACACACACACACTCTTTCTCTCTCTTCTCTCCGTCTGAGATTTATCTTGATTTATCGTTCCGTTATATCTTGCACATTCAGCGCCCTATTTGATAAGAAGTCGTTCGAGTGAAAAATGCAAGACGAATCGGTTGGAAGATCCCTTCCTGCTTTATGAGAATAGAATCTTCTCACATTTGTCAGAGAACATGAGAAAAATTTTCAAGAAATTTTAGAATCAAGAAAATGTACAGAGATTGTTTCAATTCGTTCACACCTCAATGGAAAATCTCCAAGTTTCTCATACGTTAACAATGAAAAAACAAGAATTTTTTAACTTACTTTGGCTTTATATCTTTCTTACCGTCAACTTAGTCGTTTATTTCTTCATCTTTCTTTTCTCCAATGTGGAAGACAAGCGCAGCCATTTGGAAATTAACAAGAGAGCTTTGCGGTAATTTCCTCGGCTATCCGGAAAACATTCTTTGCGCTTCCAATTTCTATGCCGGATCATCGATATCTCTCCTTGCTTCTCGGGGAACCTTGTTTTTCGTCCTTTGGGAAATTTCGTTGCGCTCGTTTTTATTAACTCGCCCTCTTTACATCGAACCATCGACATACCCGTCGGACCTTGACGTCATCAACTGCGGGCCAACACACGCTATGTTATTTACCGCTTATACGCCGAGCATTCACCGGCGCGTCCTGGGACGTATCCGGAAGATGACGCCGAGGAGTTGCTTCCTCGATGCAAAGAACGTCATCGCGAGCAGATCGATCGCGAAGATATCTCGCAGCCGATTTCGCACCTGACTTTTATCGTGTCGCTTCCAATGGGTTAATTTAATTATCTCGCTCAGTTCATTCTACATTGCATTTCGCGACGCACTCCTCGGTGTATTCCTAATGCTCTCGTGAAACTTTGCAATCTACGCGATCATTAATAGCGTTACAGCAAATGTACGCTATCAACGTGCATTTTATTGTGATATATTAATTATTTATTATCGTTATTATTAGATAAATGTAAATAATATCGTTAACAAACCTTGTTAATTACAAGTTTGTTTGATGATACTCATCGTATCGCTGTGGTGCTTTGTATGTATCATTATCCGGGAGAGCCATTTAATTCTAGCATACAACGAAATCTTACAAATGTTTCAAGTCGCTTTTCATTCCGTCCTGTGTTTTCTTTTCGCATTCAGAGGCTTCTTCCCCTTCTCCTTCTTTTATGGAATATGATGAAATTCTATCCTGGTCGTCGACAAAAGATTCACTCGATGACCCAAATGCACTTTTAATGTCACACCTAAGTTGCACTTACCGCGATGATTTCACTACACGATCTATTCACTTCTAATCTCCTCTTTCTGTCTTGAAAGTCCTCTTCCCTATACGATTATTCTTGGACCAAAAAACACGCAGCGTTTCACTGCGTTTTTCGCATTGACCGCCTCGAGGAAGCCCTCGTCGCAATTCACGGTCGTCGAGTATCGATTTCACATTTTATATTACGAGCCTTCCACCCTTGTATATTCTCCGCCTTCTTTTTAAAAATCTTCCTTCCTCGCGGGATAATATTCTTGGCTGAGAGAACACACGCACTAACCCACTTCTACCTGGCGTTCACCCTCCACGAGCCCTCGTCGTCGGTACATCGATTCCCCACGTTAGACGCACGCCAACGCTCGCAAGGTGTTTCGCATCACAACTGATAACTGATAGCATGCGTTTTATATCTTTCACGAGTCGATACTGCGACGAAAAATGGATGTCGGTGTCACGACGTGACATCGGTGGTGAGAACGACGCCAGACCAGTATGGTACTAACCACCCTCCCCCAAGGGACACTTGAGGGGCGCAGCAATCCCGTCGCAGTTTGCCCCGTTCGTTTCACTGCGCATTGGTCGCCGGTGGTGGACTCGTCAATGTGATTTCACCTTCCTTACTCTTCGCGCGCGTGTTGGTGCATATGCCAGAAAAGAAGAGATCATGTGGGGGTGTACAACCCCAATCTCAGGTGTAGCTTGATGCGAACGCGGTTGTATCCTCAAATCATAAATCGAATAGGCCTACAAAATTTTGATAGAAATTAAATGGGTTTTGACGACAAAAATATAATGTAATTAAATGCCGATCTCTAAAAACAAAGTTGGCGTGCTACTTAGAATGCATCTATATGTTTGTTTCAGCTCGTATCTACAAATACCGGTCTTGCGCAAAATGTATATGTACGATTTCTAGCACAACAAGAAAGAGCAACAGCGAGTGCCAAATTTCAAGATATAAGACCAGCAAGGAGGAAACGAAAGGTCAGATCACGATCATACATCCTGCGTCGTTACTGCGGACTTACTTTTTTTCTATAGCATCGGCAGCCAAATGTCTCGACGACGACACCAGGCGTCCATTCGTCTGTGCCGCTATGGAGAATTCCTGTTCTTCCTGTCTTATTCGTAAGACGCAACGTAGCGAACAGATTCACTCCAAAGATTCAGAAGTTTTGGGATTTGATCCAGGAAACTCGGAATCCAAGGACTTTTAGGATGCAAGGATCTGGAACTCTGTATAGAATGAGAACCCTAACTCAAAAATTCAACTTAAAAATTTTTTGACAATTTTATCGTTGGTTAGAGATAATTAATTGAAAGTTATCGTAGTATAAATGATACAAAAATAGATGCTAGCCAATATTTCTTTATATGCGTAAACTTCGTGAATTTGGAAGATCAATTAAAATTCCAAATGAAAAAATGAAAAAATTGAAAAGCAGATTGATGTAGACGAAAGAGAGAGATTGCTCGTGGCAAAAGCCACGTAATAAATGCAGGTAACCGACAATACGAGCACGCTCGTTCGTTTCACGTAAAAAGGGGTCAAGCGGATAGCATCGATTTTATTCAAATTCCCGGTTTTACTTAATAGGAGGTATTCATAGAGCCAAGGGAGAACATTTCGATGGTTCTATATAATCGCGTGTTAATTATGGCGAGCAATGAACCTAGGCGTTTCTTCGTCATCAAATAATTTCATAATTTTACGCGTATATAAACAGTCGTATCAATTGGTGTGAGAAACAATAAAATAATGAGATGCAAAACGGCAATCTCAATAATTCAAGGTCGAGAATATAATTTATTGATCTCGTGACTAAACATTATTACGAACTTCCAGTGTTGTCATTAATTTATGATGATCCATGATAGCATAATAACATGATACATTCCTTGTCACATGAATCAAGGTCTATCTCAAATTTATTGTTTTACTCCACGAGAAAAGAGTTCCGTAATTTTGCTTCAACCAGATTTATTATCATATAATTACCTAAAAGTAGATGCAACAATATTGCGCCATTTTGCACCCTAGTTTATAGTATGTTACGAATATTGACATTAATAATTCTGATTGACGATCAACTATATTATATGTCCGGCAAGATACTGAGAAGCCAATTTTTCCATCCTTGCACTTCTGAACGATTCAGATCATGGTCCATATTTGGCAGTGGTACAAATTTCACATTTACACCAAGTTCTTTCATATTCTTTGCAGTTTCTTCACCCCATTCAATAGGAACCAAAGTGTCCGCTGTACCATGGTATTGAAGAAGTGGTACTTTATTATTTTCTGGATTTATTTTCAAATGCTGCAATTATACATAGAAATAACTATATAAAATCAATTGTGGAAATAAAACATCATGTATTATATCTAAGCTATTAATCTTTACTAAAAGTAATAAGAAAAAAATTACCTTTTATAATTTGGACATAAAAAAAGTATCATGAAATATTGTATAAATATACCTCATATATTAAAGATCCCTTATTCAAGAAAGAAGACATAGCAAAGCAACCAGCTATGCTTGGCTTATATCTGTATGTTAAATGCAGCGCCAAAGCACCACCCATTGAGAAACCACCTAGAATTATTCTATTGTAAGGAATGCCATCTTCTACTTCCTTCTCAATCAATTTTGATACATCCTGACACATAGAATCAATTGACTTTACATGCTCTGGTACTTGATTAGATATTGCCATTCGGTCAAACCATACATTTTGCAACTGCAATACAATTTTAACATAATACATACTTAAATATTTGAGGCAATTTAATATAAATAGAAATATAATTTAAAAATTTTTGGAACTTAACATAGGAACCAATATTTTACTTCCAGTATCTACTTCCATAATCTATATCATTTGTTTTAATCAATCTTGAATACATCTCTTATAGTCAATTTATATCGATCATTTATATCAGAAACTATTCCTTTTAAGTATTCTACAATTAATCATAATTACATTACACTACCATCCCATCATTAGGTGTGTATGCTTGACTGGGTGCGCTAGGATAAACTAATCTTATGTGTGGAAATTGCAGTTCTTCTTTGGTATATATATTAATCCACTCTTTCATGTCTTCTGCTGTACCACCTGTGAATGATAAGTTATAACGAAATAAAACCATGACATCAATGTGACTCATTAAAACTTGCATTGCTGTATTCTGAATTTCGTCATATTTTTCTTTGCTTGTTAATATTGTTACAAAATATCACAAAAATGCTATTTATCTTACCGGAACCGTGAAAGAAAAATACAGTGGCGGTATGTTTTTTCGTGGCATGCACGATGTTTGCTTGCGAGATTCTTGCCATTAATGCCATTTTGCTTAAATAGCTAATTTATCAATTTCCGTCCGTTAAAATTATATAAAACAACTTGTGGTGAAACGTTTCGCAACTATGCAAGCGATTTTTTACGAAGAGATAAATGAAAACAAATAATCATAGACAAATAATATCCAAGAACGTAACAGATGGCTTGAAAATTCGCCGTACACTAACGCCCTCTTAGCGTAGTTCAGGCGATTTTTGGCGATCCTTTGTGTTGGTGGCAGTCTATTTTGAATTTATATGAATATACAAGATATATACTTTTTCATTTTAACATGAGTATATCATGAATAGTGCTATTATAATTATTATAATTTTATATTATACATTGTGTATTATAAATATAATTTATTTATTGTATTTAGAATTGTAAAAAAATAAATGCAGGAATAGGTATAACATATATAGGTATAATTGTAAAGGATAAATGTGAATAATTGTGTTTATTTCCAATTAAATGTTGAATATAATTTTTACATACAACTGTCCATTATATTATTTATTATTATATTTTGTCGTTTTTTATATACTTACTTTACCTATTACCTTACTTACTTATCTAGTAACATACCTAGTACTTTACTTACTTATCTAGCAACATATATAATTACATATAATTATATATATAACTATACAAAAACGACCAAGCAACGATGAAGACGACCAAAATGATCAAGATAACAATGAAGATGATTAAAACGACCAAGACAAGAAAATGAAGACGACCGAGACGACGAAGACGATGACGGAGACGATGAAGACGACGAAGACGACGACGGAGACAACGCAGACGACGAAGATAACGACGGAGACGACGACAAAGACAACGACGACGACGACGAAGACGACGATGAAGACGACGAAGACGATGACGACAACGACGACGACGAAGATTACGACGGAAACGACGAGGAAGACGATGAAGACGAAGATAACGAAGACAACGACGAAGACTACGAAGATGATAAAACGACACGAGTAGCGGCGAGATAAAGTACAAGTAGTAGCGCATTGTCCTTCCGCTCGCCGCGTGCCGGCAACAGTCGCTGTATCAAGTGAGCCGCGCTTTGTGCCGACCGGCTTTTTTAATATCATCTCGGCGCATTCATTACATTCCTATAATTAATAACTCGAGAGTTATTGCGAATATCGCAAAATGGTATGAGAGTTTTGTATTTATCTTAATTCGCTCTGTATTCATGAATTCCTCGGATCGAGCGAGGAATTCGTGAAACACTCTGTACATATGTCTTCGACTGCAATTTTAGTATTATTTCGACTTTGAATTATTAACTCAAAGAATGTCAACGTGTGTATATATTTAAAATAAAACTTATTCCAAATTTGCTCACGTCTCGCAATCCTAGGAGCATACACACACACATACATACACATTTGACCTGTTTTCCGTATTCGTTCGGAATATGGCTTTAGGTAGAAAAGTGTACCCATACGCCATTCTCCTGTTTTCCATATTGATAGCAGAGAGAGGAATCTGAGAGCGGCCAACACGGCGTTTTCGGCGACACCGACTTTCCGCACTGGGAAAGGACGCCATCTGCATCCATTTTGAGAGGCGAACTGCGATACTACATCCACTTTCAGATCTCGACGGTAAAAGCTGCCATACATGCGGTGAGCTCCGGCAACGGCTGCGTGACCAATCAAAGGCGCAAGGGTTGGGCAAGCTCCGGCATGCGTCTGTCTCCTGATTGGTCACCGCAGCCGTTTGCCGGAGCTCACCGCATGCATGGAGTCTTAGCTTTAAGCTGCATGTGGAATCAGTCCGATCTTTAAAGCCAGGTTTGGCAAGCTCCGGCATGCGTCTGACTCCTGATTGGTCACCGGCAGCCGGTTGCCGGAGCTCACCGCATGCATGGAGTCTTAGCTTTAGTCAGGTTTATTTATGCCATCTGAAGATGAACTTAAAGAAGTCTTAAGCGTGGTCTACAATGGCAGTAGCAGTAAGAAGTAAGCGTAAGCGGTAAGAAATAAACCAATCACAGTCGTTTATGACAAAAATAGTCAACTGTGGTTGGTCCATTTCTTACTGTTCACGCTTTCTTCTTACTGCTTACGGCCATTGTAGACCACACTTTAAATATATATATATAAAGACCTGACTATGAATACGGGTGTATTAGTCTTTATAGTATCTCGTCGATGGCGTAGCTAAAGTAGTCGGTATTATTATCGCTCTTTAATTATTTCCGGGCCCTTTGGCTGATACAAAAATTTACCCAAGGCTGTCAGTCTTTATATTACCTCGTCGGTGGCGAGAGCATCGAAGATATGTTTCGTAAATTTGAAACAGTAAAATCGCCAATATTCCGTTGTGCTATCTCAACATTTGCTACTTGACATGCGCAACTTTTGAAAAATAAAAGGAGCATAGCGATTGGTCGATTCGCAATGCCTCGCTTCGCGTCGCTTATGTGCAACAGTATTTCGAGAAGTACAGTCACCGCCATGTTCAGTTGAAGAACGGTCCGCAATAAATAGTTTGTACTCGACAAGCCGTTCGATATTTCTTGCGATTTCGGTTCGCCGAAGTTAAGTTTCGCATGTGAATTATAGCCGGGAGTGCTGAGAGTATGTTTCGCGTGTTGGATCCGGTAAAATATCGTCAATCAGCCGCTGCAAGTTATCTCGCGGTTGGAAATTCCGAGTAAAGTATCGCGCGTTCACTGAGTTATGGCTGCTCAAAGTTCAAAACACTATAATGAGACTTTTTGACTCGCCGAAGGAATCCTGTGCGCGAATTATCGTCGCGAGTGCCGAAAATAAGAGTCGTGTATTCGTTGCGACGAAATATTGTGGAAAATTTGCCGAGAAGAAATATTATCTCGCAATTGCAGTGATGCAGAACGGATTAGTTACCAGAGGGATTATGGTGCGGGAATTCGGATTCGAAAAGAAGAATTCGTCGAATGTATAACATGTGCGTGATTGTCGCCGGAAGTGTCGAAAATAAATCTCGCGCGTTTTCCGTAGTAAAATGTCAGTCGTAAATGAATATCTTGGTTCATTGAGAATATCGGATCGATACATTATCGCCTGTGTTCATTCCAACATAGCGGAGTTCTAGTCGACGTCCTTTACGTTTCCGATTCGCCGAAAAAAAGTGCTGTGCAAAGGAAATATCCTGCGGAATAATCCGTCAAGAGTGAAGTGATTCCGCGTTGTATACATTCAAGTCATCGTGTCTACACTTTTGACCTGTGGAGGAGTGGAAATCGGTGAGTTTACGCAGCAGAGACTGCAAGTATATTTATCCCATACAACCTTATCTCGTTTCCCTGTATAGAACAAAGTAGTATATATTTTTATCGTCAAGGGATTATAAAGCGATTACTGTTTTGCTCGGAAAAAAATGATAGGCCAGAAAACGATATCGAGAAATACATTGAAGAAAGAGAAACTCGTCGTTCTCATTCTTGCGGAATTATTCGTCAAAGAGGACGGTTTCACAGCGCGACACGTGTGCCTGAACATTTCCTTATCTTTGCCGTTCGTTTTAACGTGATTATAATCAACGTAATCCGACAGCAGATCCGTGTCTTCAGAGCTCATGTCGGTAAATTCACTGTCTCCCGCCGATTTCCTGTGAAGAAAGCTATAGATATAACCACGTAAAAGTTGCAATTTAAAGATCGAGCGTTCTTTCTGGATATTTTACTCGAACAATCTTCTAGTGCTTTCGATTTCCGAAGAACTGTCGTAATCCGTTTCAGTGTATCGACTCTTCGGAACAGTGGACGTGTATTTAAGATTGTTCCGCAAATGACAATTGCATTTTAACGATAAGCTTTTTATGCTCGCGGATGCAGCAGAACGCGGAACATCGTCAGCGCTTACGACAATCGGCGATTCGTTCGTCGATGTCGACAAATTTTGCTCGGGTTCTTCGAAGTCAATGTCAGCTTTCGAACTTTTCTCGAGAGGTTCGAGAAGTTTCCTGCATAAAATATATCTTTATGTAACACTTGTGAGGTTTTACTGCCGTAACTACGCAATACAACTTGGTTCTCAAACAGTTTGATTCTTACGTTGGGTTTGCACGAGCGACTTGCGCGATGTTCACGGTTCTTGATTTTTGATCATTCGGTTCCAAAGCTCCCTTTCTCGAAACGTTGTTCGATTCCCTAGAGTTAGGTATTGGAGAATGAATGATTTACTACACTATGTGTTATATTATTATATGAGATATGATTTATTGCATTGTTAAAATACGAGCATGCGTGTGTCAAAATGAGTTATTTGGCACACGATTATTTATTGTGACGACAGAATAAAAGCACTAGTGAATGACTATCGGGATTTATTGAATAATTATTTACGGTTACAATTATAGAGATGAATTGGAAAATAATAACATATAAATTATTCGATATTCGAACAATTCTAGTTACATCATTTTAAATAAGAGTATACAGAAATAAATATAAATAATTAACTGGTATAGGTATTTTGCTAATTACAATTTTATCTTACTTGTATACATGTATTTGATGCATCAATTTTTCCTCCTCATTACGTGCGGGCGATTTTAAACCCGCGGTTTCTTTTGATTTATTTCTCACTGGCAATTTTGTACTCTGTACGCACGCAATTGAAGTTAACAGGATACATATTAACTAATATTACTGATATGGATATTCTTATAAGTATATACTTATAAATATATAATTATAAGTGTAATTATACCGGTTGAACGTGGGACTCTTCGTCTGTGGGTAAGAAGAAATTAGGCTTCATTCGCGGAATTTTGCTGGCTTTATTTCGTGAAATGCACAATCTTGCATTTTCAATAGTTCCGTCGTTTTCGAAATTTTCATCCTTGCGTAAATTTACCGTTTCTTCGAATGTAGCTTTGCTCTCAAATCTGTTTTCATTCACTGCAGTTTCTGCTTGTTTCCGAGTGTCTCTCGTCGTCAGTCCCTTCTAAATATTACATAGTTCGCAGTTTTTTATAGTTTTTTTTTTACAGAGATTAATAAACATAGTTGAAAATTTGTAGGACAAACTTGATGAATGTCAAGTGGTGTTTCTTGATTTATAGTAACGACATCTCGACAGATATCTGCACAAAATGCCGACTCTTTAATTTTCAAGACGTCACAAACTTGCGCACGAGCCTTCGTAATTTTCTTTGGCCGCATCTTCGATCTGACTCCGATTCCTCTCTTCTTAATCGTTACACTCATCTTTCCGCAAGAAGTAGAAAAAAAGTTTGCCTTCTCTTTCGGTGTTGGCGATACGTTGCAACGGTCTAGACATGGTTCTCCCGTATTATTATCAATCTCAGAACACGTGGGAATATCTGGTTGACTAATAGCCGCCTCGTAATTATAAGACACGACCGCAGGTTTTGCCTTCGTTTCAGGTTTGCTTTTTCCGACGACCGTTGAACCGACTGGTTCTCCTCTGATTATATTTTCGCGTGCGCTGCGTTGAGATAATGAGTTCATCGTGTCTCCAACATGACTGATGTTACAGCTAGAATTATTTATTGCTGTCACTAACTCTTTTTTCTATATATATTTCAACTTCGTCCTGATAAAAGTTCGGTTACAATGAGAGGAATGATAAATAAGTATTTAACAATATTAAAATGTGTGTTTCTTCCGGATGGATACCGTGTCGTAATTCAGTTTTGTGCCGACGTTTGTGACGCAAATGCGCATTGCAGCTTGCATCATCAGGGCTAGGAACTCCGATACTGTATCGGTATCAATATCGGAGCTCCTAGCCCTGATGACGCAAGTTGCAATGTTTGCGAAACGTCGGCACAAAGCTGAATCACGACGCGGTATCTATCCCGAAGAAACACACCCTGATTGTATCGATGGACGCGAAAGTCTAAAAACTAATATTAAAATGTACCAAATGCCTATTTCGTACTGGAAACGCTATAAATGTAACGACACCTAAAAACTATTACTAATTAAAACGTCGTATAAATTCATAGATAAAGAGAAGGTAGAGTTCTATTTTTTTACTCACGTGGAAATTGCGGACTTGCATACATCAAGCTGAGCTTGATCTTTAAGCGACCTACGTATTTTAAGTTTAGATAGGAGCCTCAATAGCGTCTCGGATCGCTTGCGAGCGATCTTGCGGCTGTGATCGCGACGCGCGTTGATATTTAGACGCTCTGTCTCTTCATCCTGCCTTCTCACGTTTGCCTTTCGCGTCAACAGAAGCGGCGATACCAAGTGACTCAACTTATTCCGAAATTGCGGTCGAATGCGAAGCTGTGATTTTCGTAAATTCGCCAGTATCCCGCGTGAATACGTTCACATCTTTCATCGGATACTTCTACAGATACGTTCGTCCGACCGTCTAACCACTCGTTTTGTCGGCGCGATGTCATGCAATCGCAATAAAATTAGCGATCGCGCGTTTCAATATCAACTCGACCATTGAGCCTCTTCACTTCGTACACTTTGTTCAATTTAATCGAGTTTTTCGTGGCCATCTCAATGTGTGAATTTTTCACGATGACGAAGTACGCAAGTTTTACGTAAAAATTATTAATTAATGAACGAAAAAGACTGATATAAATCTTTTTGGAAACAAGATTCGATCAATTGCCTCCCGAGAATTTATGTAATTTTATATAGCGTTACTTCATGCATATTTACCATAAGAAAATTTGTCAAGAAAATAAAAATCTGCTATAAAATAGGAGCAACGCAAGATCGGTATTCATAGTCAATCATCATTTAGTAAATAATCAGCAGCTTCATAAAGGTGTGATTATTCGTCAATTTGCATTTGTTTCTCATACGTGCTAAATATTCATCCTATATAACAGCCTATGAATACAAATCTGTGATTCATTACTCTTACACCTTGCAAATAATTTATAACAATGAAAACTAGCTTAAGAGGCTTGATCCGAAGACAGATGTCGATTGAAAATATTAAGCTCGTTTCTCCGTTGCGACGTTACAATCGTTATCTGAGAACGGGTCTATGTAGAAGTATACGAAAAACGAATCGTGCGATTTTTTCGTAAGCCAAAAACATCAGGGCTGCTGTGAGAACAGTCTGCAGCAGCTTCGCCTCCATTCCCTTGTACAAACCACGTAGCCCTTGCTTCCTGTAAATATCACAAATATATCGTTTTCGCAAATACGCTAATCTAAATAATATATACTTACTTCAAAATGTAAATTAATATCTGTAGCGTGCCTGCGTTCCGAGGTAGATTAGGATATTTGTGCCCGTGCTGGAAAATTGCAATATTCAGGAATTAGTCGAGCAATAAAATGTGCGTATTTGAATTTCACTTCAAGATATGTGGAAAGTGTATTCTGTCGCTGCTCACTCTAAGGTTTGTTTGCACGAGCTGCAGGGGATACGTGAGCGAGGTAGCGATCGTTTTCGCAATTGCGCCGATGGCGAAGAAAATCCACGCCGGTGGCTGAGCACCGCCCAGAGACATATTGACTCTTCTCTTGATGCTCTCGTATGTCATAAATTGAATTGCAGGATTCACGACTAGCATCAGACTCGGCAATGTGCCTGCCCAAAGATGTTGCAATCCTTCGTATTTCCATATGTGTTTGATACCGTCTGTCAACAGGATGATGTAAGGAAACTATTGTTTAATATACATGAAGATAGAGTTAGTTTCGCATGTTTAAGTAATGTAACAGCGTATAATTTCGCTCGAAGGAAATCTTTGCAAACATTCTATAGAATATTCGGTTCTTTTTGAAGCCAGATTTGTTAATTGCAAAACATTATACATCGAAGTAAACAAGAAATTATTGGGTCATCATTGGGTGATGCAAACAAAAAATTATTTAATTCTGAAACTTATTGGTCTTTGTAAACTACTACGTTATTTACTTCGAGACTTCCATTATATTTAGACTTTCATATTGATTTCTTATAGCGTATAGTTATCTTATAAGTTAATAAATTCATAATGTGTGTATTATCACTAGGTGTACCGTTTGCATATTATGAATTTATTAACTTATGTATGTGTAAGATGAGAGAATGTAAAGTTTTTAATAATGGTGATGACTAATCGTAAAAAAGAACACAAACATAGCTTAAGTTAAAAACAAGACTAATTACAGTTCAATTATATGTGAGGCTCCTGCTTGAGCATTCGCAATTTATGCTATTTATGCGCAAAATATCGCGGTTTTGCTGTTTTAAATAACAGAGTATTCTGATTTTAAGTTTTAAGCATAATGATGCTTAACATTATTGTAAATGCATATTATTTTTGATAATACGTATACATATATAATGAGATTTACAATGCACGAACACAACATCGAGGTCAAGAATATTCTCCTCATTTGGTGTATTCTGATGCATATATATTGGTTCAAAAGATAAACCAAGTTTTATTGTAAAAACGAAATAACTCTGTTGAAATGCTCGTTCAAGTCTATTTTTATGGAAATTGACTCACCATACAAAGTATCGTATTCATTGTTATTTCTTTCCGGAGCTGTCGCGACACCTCTCATTTTTAGCCTCGTGTTTACTACCCACAAAGGTGTCGTCGTCAGAACATTAATAACACCTGAAAGAAATATGACACCTTAAAAACGGAAGCTGAGGCTGCTTGCTTTTAATTATTACGCAATGATACACACTCAGGGCAATATATAGCATAAAATGAAAAAAAGAACCGATGTCTCGTATCTCGTTCTCTCTTTAGCGTAATGTTTTTAAGATATTTGGCATGTGTACCTCTTTATCTTTATGGCAAAATGTAAAAAGAAATTCAAATTTCGAAGTATATGACGGACAAGCGATAATACCCGCTATAGATGCGAGAAGAAGGTCGCTTCCTGCTGTTTGGTTTCTCCTGCTTCTCAGCTCTTTTAAACCGTGGAATGTGTAGAAGTAAACAAAATTACTGGCACACAGGCTCTGCAGAACAGGAACGATGCCTCTGTATAGCGTGCACCTTGAAGAAGTCAAAGGCGATAAAAAACATAAGACTATTAGATCGTGTGTATTGAACAACTAATAATAATTGTAAAATGTCGATTTAGTTATTAACGTGACAAAAATGCCAATCGAATCGTTCATTGAGATTCCTCGAGGAAAGTTCGTTGAATCGTCATCGTGGTCGTCACAAAAGACATGCGCATTTATAAATTGAGAGGTTAAATTTGTGTTAATTATAGTCGGATACATACGGCCCTTCCTTAGCAACGAGTTCTTGTAAGACCGCCAACGTGTTCCTCGACTGCCGACCCTCCTCCACTGCAAACAACACAATAGATTTGTCAGGACCGAACGAATGAGGAGCGAGAAAGTGACGCACAAACAGCAGTTTCTTTATTTTACGATAACGATCTTCCACGCGTTTTGTTACAAGACGTTTGTTCCGAGATAAAAATATCTTCGTACATTGACGCAAGTGAAGAGGCAATTGCTAAACTGCATCTATTTACATGCAATAATACGAAACTCGCACTTTTTGCACGGGAATGATATACGAGTATGTGTGAAGAGATACGAACAGGCTATTAATATTAAATACAAAAGCATGCTAATAAATGGCATGAATACACTGACAAATGAAAAAATATTGATGACCATGTATTCGCGAATACATGGACAATAAAACGACAAGATATCGCTTCGAGCGAACAACCTCGTGCTTAATAAGACTGAAAGACGCTCGCTCGCCTGACGATATTTCACAATGTACCGCGGAGGAAACAAGCGCATAATTGATCCGTCATATAGCTAGATAGATACAGATTTAGCTTACATTGTAAGCGGCTTCGCACGGTATCCAAGGGGTAGAAAGCTGCCATCGCGACTACGCTACCCTGAAAGCAAAATGTCAAGAGTTACATCCTGCGGTCAGATAGGCGCGCGCGCGCGCAAGTTTGTGGAATTTCCGACATGCGAGAAGTTTACTCACCGCCGCGCCGGATATCGCGTGCACCAGCGTGTCGTACGAGAAGATGTTTCTGTTGCTCGGCCCGCCACCACCCATTTTCGCGGCTCACGCGTCAGACACGCGTGTGTCCTCGATCCGATGGCTCGTGAATTGCAACGTGAACTTGGGGAATTCGGAGCTACCCCGAGGGGCTATTACTGCGTGGCTAATGAAATTCGAGTAGCAGCGTGTCGAATTACCGAGCTGTGAAACGCGCCGATCGATCGGCGACTAGCAAGTCATTCTTCCGCAAAGCGGTCTGTGGTTACCCTGTAACAGATTACGGTTTTACGATTAGGGTTTTAGGTTTTATCTTTCGCCCATCCGCAGTGCAAACAAGTTAGCCGAACGTAAAATTACGGGTATATCTTTCCTGTACTCTGATTCTGACCGAGAAAAAATGTATCTAATCTCTTTACACGGAATATATTCCACTATCTCTGATCCAAAGTCAGATGAGCAGAGTGAAGCTCGAATTCAAATAGTCGTAAGTAAAATAAAATCCTTCGGAAATGATGAACACGATTTTATGAAAGAGACCCGCCTCTATTTCGCGTGTTATACTGATTCGTGCACCGTTTCCACGTCATGTGAACCAACGAACATTTTTCTAACACGCAGTAATCATCAATTTCTATCAATTCACTAATTTGAACTCATCAACTCGCTGTATACAACAGATTTATGCAAGATAATTCTCACTGTAGATCGGATAATTCGTACAACTTCACAACTGAACTTACTCGTACTGCCGCGCGTTGAGACTCCAATCCGAAATCGGCGAGTCATTGGATCACGCGATAACAGAACGTTCAACACTCGAACATTTTTGTTGGCTCTGAAGTCGTATAATGTTGACTTAACGACAGAACGCGCAGCACCGTCGCGCGAGCGAAAATGTGTCACAGTGAGACGTTACTTATATAAGTGGCGAACCTCTCGACGCTCTCGTGTTTAGTGTAGACTTCAGCGATGGTCTATTCGAGTACAACGGTCAGCTGTTACGTCATCGTAGATGTTTGGCCTTGTGTGTTATCGTTAGTCGTGAGAACCTTGGCGCAAATTATGTTATCGTTGAGCAATTCGACTCGGCTTTACGCGTGGCTCTCGATCGGTCTTTCACGGCTCGCTCTCGTAAATATCCGTGCAGACTGCAGTCGCTAATATACCGCGACATGACGAGAGGATGCGGCGCACGCAACGGCCGGCACGCTTGCGCTCTCGGCCTGTATGCTTCAGCAGCGTCGAGGTCGATGTGGTGCACGAGGTTCATGCGCGGTGACGTGAGAGTAGAGGCCGATCGCGCGGTCGTTAGTAATTCATCCCCACGGTAATCTGTGTATCGGAGAAACTTGGAAAGTGCGGAAAACGGGTGAAACGGGATTTCGAAATGCGGCGGAAATTGCGACGTGTGCGAAGTTGGCCCCGCACTTTTCGAATTTTATATTTTTCCGAATTGTGCTGCATTTTGTGCTACGTTTGTGCCGTAATCCGCAACTCTGTAATTCAAAGTATACTCAAGAAAATTAAGAAAAACTAAATTTTTGGTAGCCCCGCACTTTTCGAATTTTGAATTTTTCTTTATTGTGCCGTATTGTGCTATATGTTTGTGTTGATTTGTGCCGCAAACGTGAGACCGATAACTTCAATAACATTTAAGAAAAAGAAATAAAAACGAAAATTTGCCAGCCCTCCACTTTTGTCCGAATGAACCCAATTTTTGTTTGTGAATTCCTACCAATTTGTGCCGCGTTGTGCCGTTTGAAGAAACTGGATATCTCTTTTCGTTCAGTAGAAAAGAAATGTTAAAGTTAAAATACAAATTAATAAATAACTTTTTTTACAATGCATTTATCGCAAGTCTGCAAGTTGTGCTGAATTGTGCTAATTGAGTACAATAAGAAACCACTTAGATATGTATCCAAAACTACTCGGTTGCAAAAAAAATTTGCAAAAATTGATGATTGATGATTCAAAAAAAAATTTTTCACATTTTCGAAATATCGAAAGTTGTGTCGGATTGTGTTAGTCAAACCTAACACAACTTTGTCTAATTGCAAAATGTCCTCAGATAGCTAGTTTTCGCAGTACAAGCATTCAAAGAAAATAATTTTTAGGAATAATTTTAGGAATAATTTTCAGATCACTGTAGCTCTTGAACCATGGTAAATATTCGAATTCTACGAGTTGTACTAAATTGTGCTAGTCGAGTACAACAAGAAACGACTAAGACATGTTCCGAAAATTGCACAGCTTGTAAAAAAATTAGCAAAAAGTGGTGGGCAAAAATTTTTTTTACATTTTCGAAATTTTGAAAGTTGTGCCGGATTGTGCTAGTTAAACCTAAAAATTGCGGGGCTGGCAAACTTTCGTTTTTATTTTTTTTTCAAATGTTATTAAAGTTATCGGTCTTATGTTTGCGGCACAAATCAGCACAAACATAACACAATACAGCACAATAAGAAAAAACTCAAAATTCGAAAAGTGCAGGGCTACCAAAAATTTAGTTTCTTCTTTATTTTCTTGAGTACGCTTTGAGTTACAGAGTTGCGGATTGCGCAATACAGCACAAACGTAGCACAATGCAGCACAATTCAGAAAAATATAAAATTCGAAAAGTGCGGGGCCAACTTCATGCACATAAAATTGCGTGGGACTGCTCGACGCTCTTTCGACCGCGCCTGTCGGTTTTGATTTTGTGCTCTTCGAATTTGCATTTCCTTGACATACCGAGGAAGCGTGTTTCTTATTAACTTGTTCATAAGAATAAACAGCTTATAAGAAGGAAATTTTAATAATCATGAAGTCAGGTTTTTTCCGCGTAAACAGTCCACGTGTGAGAACGTGAAGTCAGATGTTGGAGTTAACATCTCGTTTCCGATATTCGCGATGCAAACGCGCAAATTGTATGACGTAGGAGAGAGAGAGAGAGAGAGAGAGAGAGAAGGGGGGGGAGAGATTTTCGGATGTACCGCATGACGTCTGGAATTCTCCAAGTTCTCGTCACAGTTTAATTAAACATTCCGACATCTGCACGGAACATTGTAATCACCCCTGTTTCCCAAATCGAAAATCGCTGTCAACGTATATGACGATGCCTTTTTCATAAATCTCGCGAGTCGTAAGTCCACGATACAAAGATAAATTTAGGACGAGGTCGATTGAATAATTTTCTTAAGTTTGCTTAAGAGAGATCTTGTAATGAATTCATGAAGCGTGTGTCTGTAAAGTGGACACGTCAATCTATTAATATAAAATAAAATATGTAGACTATTTGTTTTTGTCTATTAACAGGATAATGTGCTAATTTTATAGATACACGAAGCGTAGAAAACTTATAACTAAAATGAAGAAGGTAAACGGTCAATTCTGATATATACAAGATAATTGCATTATGTTCGACAAATTTTCCGCCATCTAAAAAGACTAACTTCACGAACAGTCGTAAAAATTTCAACTTGAATGGCATAATGTGTGGCATAAAAGATATCGCCAAATACTTGGAGTTCTCACAATGTCATTATCTTGGAAGAAAACACAATATGCAAAGTGAATTAGAACTCGACGTGCGCTCGAATCTTTTAAAGTTAAATAATTATGAAATTATGTACGGAGCAAAGTTAACCGTATTATTAAATATTTCATCGAGCTAAGAGAAACCTTCGCATACTTTAACGTCATATTTTTAATACGATTATCTTGAACGTACTATTTCTGCCCGTTGTTGCTTTCAATCTAACGAAAACTCAATCGAGCCCTTTTTCAGCTCCAGCTTGATTGAACCGCTTTTGCATCGCCTTCCGGGCGACAAAGGAATTTTTTAGCGCTTTTTATCTCCGTCAACGAAATAACGCATGATTTCTTTTTATAATGGAAACCACGTGAGAATGTATTAAACACACGAAACATCATTGTTAATCGTTTGCACAGTACATTTCAAACCGCTAAAGATCGATCATATCAACTGAATTTTACAAAAGCTTTTCCACCAGCGAAATTTTATCTTGTTGTACATTGTGTTTTATTTATTCATTTATTTATTTCGTCAATAGTAACAGCCGTTGCCTGACTGAAGCCTCGGTTCGCGCTTTTTTTTCGCCAAAAATTTGAAAAACTAGTACGCAATGGCTCGAACAGAGATTCCGATATCGTGTTCGTCTCGTTACGGTGAGCATTAAATTCCAGATCCTGTCATAGCGAGGAGATTAATACATAAGAAAATTCGACTAACGAATTATCGATCAAACCAATAATATAGAGTAATCCACCGGAGGCGATAATTGACAAATCGTAGCCGGCAGGCAACGGCTACGATGGAAATCTGGTTTAAGTCAATTTTACTCGGGTCGTATCTGTGTAGCGCGAACGCGATTTCTCGCTCCGTAGATTAAAGTGTCATCGTGGGTTTGATACGAGCGGGATCGCTCGTTATTTCGCGGATATTTCGGTATCCGCTTTCGGTTTCGCTGGCAGGAGGAGGAGGTGGACATTAACAAGTACATGAGAGTGGCTGAAAGAATCGTACGAGGGCATGGAGAAAATGTCATTTATTCGATACAAAATGCGAGCACAATCGCGCATGTTCGCGACACTGATCACCTTTATTTGTTTATCTTTTTGTCTTCTTATTTTCTTTACCGCTTACAGCGACGTAGCTCCGTTCCGATGAAGTTTTGCTTTGCGCTGTTCGGTCGTAATCGGCTGATGGGCCGCTTAATTGGTCGAATCGTCGATTGTACCTTAGAGAGTAACTGTATAGCCGAGAGATTACGGGAGGAGAAAGAATGCTTCGTCCACGTGTGTCGCGGACAGTCGTGAGGCTCTATGTTGTGTGCGTGTATATGTGTGGTACCTCATCGGTCATGGAGTATCTGCGCGACAACTGATACACTGGAGCAGAGAGTATATCTTTCTTCAAATAGACAGGGAGGAGAAGAAGAAAAATCCGCACAGAATCTGGTAAATTTCACGAATTGTCGAAATCGAAAACTTTTATAAGTACATATTGTAACATATACGTCGAATACGTCGGTTTTCATGTATCGAATTATTGTCCCTCTTACTTTTCGATTTACAAGAGGCAGGCGGAAAACCATTTAAACTTAGTCACGAATGAATTATTCTCCTCGCTACGGAAATCGAATATAATTTTTCAAGACTTAATGTTTCACGTCTCATGTGATTCTCCGTCTTGCTTGCGATTCCATTGAATCAGGTATGGAAGGTTCGATCGCATGTACGTCTGTTGGATGCACGACCGATGGGGGGATAATTCACGCGAGTTTGTCCGATACGTTTTAACAAGTTCGAGACGCATAGAAAAGGAGGTCGAGATACAGAAGTATCGATTGACTTTACGCGAAGCACGACGCTTCTCGCACACGACGCGGTCGCTTTTCGTCATCGCGACAAAAGTGGTCTCGCAGATCGCGCGCGCCGTGCGAATGGACAGAACCGACGAATGGACGAACGATGACGAGTGTCGGCCTCGACAAAGAATCGGTAACGTCCTCGACCGAGAATCCATTCGTGTGTATTCTTTAACTAAGCATGAACGTGCGCGCGCGCGCGCGCGCAAGCAGAATTCAGCGGAAGAATCGGCGGAATAACAGGGCTTCGAATATTCCACGGTTCCTTGGATCGAGTGCTATTAGCGGAATTACAGTGGCGTTCTGTAGGTCTCTTGTCGGTGGGTATAACGTCGCTTCTTCTTCGCGTGCCGGAACTCGCGCGAGGCTACGATGGGCGCAGTTAACTAATTCGGTAAAAGCTTTTTCATCGCGTTCTCTCTCGTACGCGAGACATGACGCGCTGACATTTCTCGATCCCTCTCGCGCCGTCGATGCGTTCGCAATTCTTCTCGTGGAGATTTTGTTGAGAGAGAGAGAGAGAGAGAGAGAGAGAGAGAGAGAGAGAGAGGGAGGGAAAGAGAGTAATTCTGATACAAATTTAACTTAACTCAAGAGGAGTGGCTGCTCTCTCTCTCTCTCTCTCTCTCTCTCTCTCTCTCTCTCTTCCCCTCTCTCTCTTCCTCCCTCCCTCTCTCTCTCTCTCTCTCTCTCTCTCTCTCTTTCTGTCTCCTTCATGCGCGATTTGATCATCCTGATATTGCCGGAGGATCCTGCGATCAAATGTCAAACGATCTCACTCGCGTTCGCGTATTGATTTCCCGTTAAGTGTTTGATCGACGACGATTAATTAACGTAACGGCTTACCTTTATTTCTCTCCCTCTCCTCTCTTCCTCTCTCTCTCTTTTTTTCTCTCTCTCTCTCTCTCTCCCTCTCTCGCCCTCGGTTTCATCTTAAGTTAATTATACGTGTTACCTTCGGGACATTACGCTAAAGCTATATTCCGTTAATTAATTAAGGCGAGTAGCGTGGTCGGTTTAAATATGATTTTCTCTCGGCGATCTTCGTTCGCGAGCATTCTCGCCCCGCCATTGTCTCTGCGCGGTGAATTCTGACGATCGCACAATCTCCCGAGTGCTCTCCGTAGTCGCGTGCAATTTACAATGTATTTACAATCTCTCCGAACCGTCGAATAGGTCTGATTCTTCTCGCCACGCGAGAGAGATACTCGAAGGAAATCTCAATTATAAATGGATGAATATGACAATAATTAACGACAGCGTGTGCGAACGCCGAAGCAAATAACGAAATCAATATTTCGGCGCGAACAGCGTAGGCTGTGCGGCGACAGCGTCAACGTGACAACAAACAGGGAGACGGGTGGCAGCTCGTTTCCGAAGATCGCTCTTGCGTAACGCGTGTGTAACTTCGTATCCGCCTGAAATTTGTCCGCGGGAATTGTCCGAAGAGATTATATATCACTGTATCGAGCAGGCCTTCCTGGACTCCGATGTTCGCAGCGTGATCCTGGATCCTGGCGCGTTGTTCTCGTTCCCGGCCGCGAGCGAGCAGGTCTTCGTCCTCATGATCATCAGGTCCGTCCTGATGCTGGGACGCCGTACGTTCGGCGCGACGACGCCGCAAGCATCGCTCAGCCGGCGCTTTATACTGAGAGTGGCTTTGTGTCGCGGCTGGAAAAACAAAAGCGGTCGCTTTTCAGCCTCCTTCACGGCGCGCGGCTTTCACGGCTCGATATCGCGCGATGGGTAATCCTCGTTCGTCCGTTCGTTCGTTCGTTGGTTCGATCGATCGCGTGCACGACTCGACTCCGCCAAGACAATGTTCCGTATCCTTAGCGCGCTTCGTTAGTTTTAATCGGATTTTCGGCACGAAGGATTTTCAGTCAACCCCCCGGAAGCGGTTAATCAATTTCGGAGGAACATCAGCATAGGAGCGCGAACATCCCGTTTTTTTTTTTTTTTCTTTTTTTCCGAGCGCGGAGAGTACAGGGAGAAAGAGCGTCGTCCCTCTTTCTCTCGCTTCCATCACGTACCTGCGACGGTGGTAACATAGTGGGCGAGCCGAAGGTGAGCGGTACTTTTCTGTGGTGATTAGGCGCCATCTCCAGCGGTAAACCCGCCACCACAAATAGCTGGTAGAAAAGCTCGTCCACGTGGTAGTTCCGCTTCGCGGATACTTCCACGAAGATGCAGCACTCGTCTTGGCTCACGCAGTATTGCTCGGCTTCCTCCACGGTGACCGTCCTGCAACGACGACGACGCACAAACTCATTATTAAAACAATTACGCGGCTCCAGGACGCAATGACGGGCGACGAGAGATGGAGTTATTCGCATATGAATGGTAGACGAGTCTTGTCGAGACTCGTAGGAACGTACTTGACGTCTTTATCACATTTATTCCCCACGATGACCATAGGGACCTTCAGGCTGTAGTGGCTCCTGCTCCTGCTCTTCGTGGCACTTTGGGTCGCGCTCACTTTGGTCTCGAGGATCGCCTCTCTCAGCCTGATGGCTTCCTCGAAGGATTCCCGACAGTCCATACTGAACACCACGACGAAGAGGTCCCCTGCGAAATCGGTTACCGGTGTTGGATCGCGCTTGATCGATCGCGTTGGCCGAACGGCCAGCGTTTAATCACGCGGCGAAATTTCACGCTCGGCACGCGGATTGCCGTAATTGCATTATCGATAACGTGAATCAATGTAAGTTAATGCCGGGCAATTTACATCAGTTAATTCATATCGATTCGCGACACGAATGACGCGGTACCACGTGTGTCTGTGCGTACACGCGTCTTTTTTCGTTGTATCTACATTGCGTGTACCTGCGGGGGAACTTCCTGTAGATTGGAGACTTGTTCTCTCTTTTTCCCTGAATTTCTCCGGATGAAATTTCATTCGAAAAGCGAAATTTTCACTCGTGTGGAACAAATTCTGGATCGTCGAGATGTTTTTACCTGGATTTGTTCGCGGAGAGCGAATCTGAGCGTGTTTTCCACCGTCGTTGCGACAAATTCACTTCAATCGACTGAAACATTCATTCGCACAGAGTGTTAAGAATTCATTCTAAGTTTCAGTTAAATATTCACTCATCTTTGAGTACTCGTCGGTACTTCTACTGTGGCTTCGTATGCATTTTCACTCGTTTTCAGCGTGAAATTTCACTGCGAGAAATTTCAGGGATATGCAATGTCCCTTTTATTCTTTTTCTTCTTTGCTGATCATCGCATCAGCGTTCTCTGATCTCTCTGTCTTGCGAACTCAACTCTCTCTCTCTCTCTCTCTCTCTCTCTCTCTCTCTCTCTCTCTCTCTCGAGCGGGCGTTCATTATGCGACAAGGGTTGTTATTCATTATTTTGAACCAGTCAGGAAGTCGCGTTGCTGTTACTCTGCACGTTACATACGGACTAATTACGGTCACGCGAGTCATATGCGCGACACGCGTGTTATATAGATTATGAATATTTATGTATCCCGATGGATTTATTTACACGGCGACAAAGGAAGCGCGGCGGTGCATGCAATGTGTATTTATAAATCCACTTTCCAACGACGACGACGACGACGACGACAACGACATAACGATTCCGGGAGACGGTGTTCTTCGCGTTCGCGAGCGCGTCGCGTCGCGTCGCCGTCGCCCGCTCGCGTGTGCCGTACCGTTCGACAAAAACGCGTCGCGGACAAAAGGGCCAGCAGGATCAACCGGCTGTTCTCGGGGCGAACAAAAAGCCCGTCCATTGGGAAACTCGACGAGCCGGCGAGTGTGGAGTGCATAAGCTCGGTAATAACGTCGCTTTGCCAACATACAAGCGCCGCTCTACTTGGTTTTATTATCGCATATCCTCCCGCTAAAAGATGCCGCCGAGCGTCTCATGTAATAATAACATCATCGTTAATTCTGCATTAGCGGGGGATAGCATCGCCCCGGCGCGAAAGAGCCTGCACAAAGCCGCCCCGGCATTTTTACCTCGCCATTAAGAAATTATTTATCATCGTTAACCGCACTGCATGGTTGTTATTATTATTATTATCGTTTCCTCCGTGTGTAGTATTATAATACGTGTGTAGTAATTATAATTAAATTATATTAATTATGCGTTAATATTAATTTGATCACTTGTATTTATATACCGAATCGCTGCATTAATTCTACGAGGTTCGCACGCTGCAGAATAGTTCGACACCGAGCGCGTGTACGTGCACGTGCTCTTTCGTGTTTGTGAACTTTGCGCGACGCGAAGATATATGTATATGCGTTTAATTCCCGAGCTTCGTCAGTTGTAAACAAGAAAATTACACTTTCCACCCGGATAAATGTATTAAACGTACGTAATGGGCTCGCGAAATTAGGTAGGTGCCGCCGTTATCGAGATCGAAAACATCGTAGCGTTTCGCTTAATCTTATGAAATATTTTCCACTGTCAGAACCAGAATTTGGGAAAGTTATCCTTTTTAAATAACTCGTTCGTATATCGTCATTCGTTTTGTAAAATAATTCGTCGTTATCGTCTCTCCAACAGTTCAACGAATTTGAGAGATTTTCGTCACAGTTCCCGTTATTTTCCAATCTTGAGTATAGAATGCAATATAAAGAAGTCTCTCTCGTGCGTGAATGCGATTATTTGAGCCGCCAAGAACGATCGACTTTTGCATCGCCGCGGAATCTCCTCAAATTCGATTGTCTCGTGACGAAAGTACCAGCCGTTTGTATCGCGACGCGACATTTTATTCTCGTGAAACAAGCCAGTGAGTCCGTTATTATCTCCGTCGCTGGATGAAAATATATGTGTGTCAGCTATTATGCGGCAAAGTTCGCGTCTTTGGTGTCGAAAGGAATTCTCTCTTCTCGCAACAGCCGTCGCATCCAGAGACGCATTGTCTACGAATCGGGGTCATATCGCAGCGTTCGTCCGTGCTCAGGCGTGTACCGACGCGGATTCGACCTTTCGCGTTTTCGACAGCTGCTAGCCGAACGCGCGAGTGGAAGAACCGTCGATCGCGGGGAAAACTCGCGCTGACAGAACCGTTCCGCCAGGGTCAGGTACGAACATATTACGAATTTCGGAGAGATAAGGATGCTCGAAACTGTGCGTATGTACATACTACGTGCACCAACCCACTTTTGAGCGATCAACGAGAAACACGAGAGTTCTCGAGCCATATTATTACGTATCATCAGCGCGGTACATGTCTCTTACGGAGCGAAGCGTTAGCGTGATAAGAGTTACCGGTGAAAAATACACAGGCGATATGCGGAATTATTAAGAGATCTCCGCGGGATCCGCGCCGGGAGAAATGCGAACGGAAAACGTAGCGCGGTCGTGACTCCCCCCGTTGAATGCGCGGAATTTCTTCGCGGCGGCACCGGCGCGCCGAGCGGAATACAAAACTAAACACGCCTCGATGAAATTCCCATCGACGTGGCTTTCTTGATTTCCGTACGCGAGCGGACGGCAATTTAAAAATTCCTCGGATTTACGTGTCTAATTTCGCCATACATCGCCTTCTCTGCCTCCGCTGCTCCTCCCTCCTACGTGAGGGGTCACCTTGTGTCCGTGACACGCGACACGTTCACCGTTCCCCGGGCGTATGTGGAGCAATAACTCGTGAGGGATGAGTATCGGTTCTGTCCGATGCAATTTGCGCATTTCCATTTCATCGCGACGGCTGAATTCGTATACTTAGAGGCCCCGGGCGGGCGTACCGCTGTTGTCCACAGTTTTGAGCCGCGGTAATTTCGTGCGGAGTGATATATGTTTTACAATAAATATACAATTAATAGTAATTAATAATACGGTATAATTGGGCAATGATGAATGAGACAGTCAGCGCGGGCTGGCCCTTGATTGCGTTACGACAGTTAAATTATATTGCGCAGGAATTGATGGAACAAAATCAACAAAATAGAGCGGTATAATGAGAAAGCGGCGAAATGACAGGAAGGGACAAATTGTCTGCGGGTCTTTGATGAATCGAGCTAATATCATGGTTAATATTCACAGACATATTCAATATTCATCAACTCGTCAAACTTTCGAGTGGAAGAAATGAAATTATCGTATCCGTGAGGCGAAAGCGGCCCGCGTTCCGCGGCTCATTCCGTACAGTAATTCACCATTGTCTTGCCGGGTGTAGTGTCGTTTTGGGAATTGCGCGCATTATGCATAGATCCTAACTTGGATTGCTCTCCGGCCTGGCGACGTGGACGTGACGTTTGTATGTATATACGAGGGTAATATGTATTTTCAGCCGTGTCGGCCAGTCTTCCATCTTGACAAGCGACTGATGCAATTGTCGCGCGTTCAACACTGCGACGCGATACCGAGTTATCAGGTGGAGGGTGAGCGTCACGCTCGATTGTGATGGTTCGGGGAATCTGAGATTTACGCGCGAAATCACAGAGGAGTTATCGAACGACAAAGAACCAGAGGGCGGAGAGGGGGAGGGAGACTAAGCTGAGTTATCGAGCGAGCCGTAGTCCGTATGTTTTCTCTGACATTTTCGCCGGGATACAACGTCCTTCGAGACTCTCGACTACTTATCAATCCTTCCTTTAAGCCCTCGCTCCTTCGACCCTCGACTCGTCGGGCATCCCTTCGCTCAACACGTCGAATACCGCGATAATAATCGGCAATCCGCATCACGATATACGACTAACACGTTTCATTAATACACGGCTGAAAGACGATGAACTATAATTAGGGATTTGTGTGTGCCGTTTATCCGGGGAGAATCGATTGGGTGAGGCAATGAGGTGTATATTTGGAAGGTTCATCGTCAGAGAACAGTGTTGTTTATCTTCCACTGTCTAATTGAGAGAAGCTTTATGGAAAAGAGAGAGAGAGAGAGAGAGAGAGAGAGAGAGAGAGAGAGAGAGAGAGAGAGAGAGAGAGAGAGAGAGAGAGAGAAAACGAAAGAGCGAGAGAGAAGAGTTAGAGTGAATTTATAAAAGAAACTTAAAGAAGAGGGAGAGAGACTACACTATTAAAAAACAGACGAGATTAAAAGAGGAGGAGTATCTCGAAAGAGTAAATCGTTGAAAATAAGCGGAATAATGTAACAGCTGCTGTCTCGGCACTTTGGTAGGTCGGGCACGTTATATTTCAGTCTCTGACCGCCGTGCGAGTCTTTAATTTATTGAAAATTGAATTGCGCGCTATAACTTTGGGCGCATAACCTGTGCTTAGATTTCTGCAAATTTAACCGAAATCTGTGCGGCGCTGAGCACGTTAACTTCATATAATATCTGGGCCTCGTCTGAAATTCTCGTAACGGCCGACGGTATCACCCCGGGGCGGCGTTCCCTCGAACTTTTCCACAAACGCGCACACGGCGAACTGTCGTTGCCGAGGATATGAAATTTCGGAAAAGTCGTGAAACTTCTCGAACTCGTGAACACTGGCACGGCCTTGACGCGCCGCTTCCCGCGTGAAATCGACGCGATTTTAGGCGACACCATTATTCTCTTTGTTGCGAACGAAAGTTTCGTCGGTTGTCGAAGAGAAGCCTACGTGTCGAGATTAAAAGGCGATGTTTTTAATTTTTACGCGCGAACGACGCCCCGGTAAAAGTGTCGGTCTCGTTTCTTCGTGATTCTTAAATTTTCTTCCCGCTCGTCGTGAAAAAAACATCATCTGAGTGTGCCTTTTTTGAGGTGGTATTTTTTATCTTCTATTTTTTTCTCGCCCACACCGCAATCCGGTGCATTCTCATACAAGATACATCGCGGCGCATTTGCACCACATGCCACTCGCTAAAGTGCCATTTTCATTCGCCTGTACGGTGAGGGTTAAATACATATCTACTTGTCGAGTCAATATTCGCCATGGAAGCGACGGTACAAGTCTGAGGTTTAATTTCGAATATCTCTAGGAACTGTATATCCGGGTATTTCTGTATTTCCTTCTTTCTTTTCCTCCTTCGTCCCCCCCTCCCTCTCTCTCTCTCTCTCTCGCGCTTTCTCTTTCTCTTTCTCTCTTTCTTGTTCTCGTTGTGGTTTTCATTCCTTATTTTCGAATGGCTACGCCGATACGAAACGGAGCGGCACATTCTCTCTTCAGGGCGCGGGGGGGGGGGGACGGGGGGACGAGGCGAGTCGATGGACTTACCCGTCAGGAAAGACAATCGTCGCATGGCCGGAAACGGATGGTTTCCGCTTGTATCCAGAAGATCAAGCTGGTGAACCTCGCCTCTGATCCTGTAGAGTTTCCTGTGAAAATCTTCTATCGTCGGCGTGTAGCTCTCCTCGAATTTGTTGGACAGAAACCTGCAACGTGAGCGGCAAAGGTTTGACATGATTCCCGCGCTTTTCTAGTCTAGCTTTTTATTCCCTTACTCTGCTCTTTTTATCGCAGACTCCCTTTGACTCTGGGCCTGCACCTATCTCCGAATTTGTTTTATTCTACATAATAAAATCAACGGCTTGTACTGTCATGTAATTTCGGGACATTCACCGTACCTCAAAAACCGTGTCGGAAAATTAGGATACTCATCTATTTTCTCATTCTCTCTTTCTTTCTCGGGCTAAAAGCGCCTATTTGATTATTTAAAAGTATTCTCCCGGAAAGGGCGGTACGTGTCCGATGGGACGGTAAACACAGGCTTAAATCGTAATTCCGTGTATTTAAAAACTCACATTCGCTCGAGAGGAGAAGCGAGCGCGCCTAAATGGCTCATTAGCGGTCGCTATCTATGCTCGCTCACGAGCGAAAAATTCGCTTAGCATCAGCCGCGTCAGCCGCGTAATTATGGTCAATTTAGGATGGTTAACGTAACTTCGAACCGACCGCGCTGCAAATTTTCTGCATTTCGCGGTGTCGCGACGTTCATCGACACGCAATATCGGCGGCGGCGATGGATTTTATCCTCCTCCCGTCGTAATGACTCCGCGCGAAACTGCACCCGCCCCAGGATTTTGCCCGCCCGCCGATGGGGAAAGAAACATCGTTAGCTGGCAGTTTTTAACAGGCCGATCCAATCCAAAAGAATCGCCCTTTGTTACCGGGGAAATACGTGGTGGCCGGTTTTTCGATATTCTCTCGTAAAGGGTGTCCCAAAATTCACGCAAGATTTGAATTTTGCGCCATTTGTGCGGTAAAGTGTTGCCAACGAAAGAAAAAGACAGCGTGACAGCTTAGGGTTTTTAAACTGATTACGCACAGCGAAGAGAGTTCGTTGAATGGATTATGGAACAACAAGTGGATGCTGGTTTTTCGAACAAAATCATCTTCAGCGATGAGGCTCATTTTCATCTTGATGGTTTGGTTAATCGACAAAATCGCATTTGGGGTTCAGAAAATTCACGAGTGATTGTTGAGAAACAAATGTATCCACAACGTATCACTGTTTGGTGCGGATTTTGGGCTGGAGGCGTCATCGGACTATTCTTCTTCGAAAATGCGGCTGGTCAGGCAATAACAGTTAATGGTGCTCGCTATCGCGACATGATAATCCAGTTTTTTGTGCCTAAATTGCAAGATATGGATCTGGACGACATGTGGTTTCAACAAGACGGTGCCACATGCCATACAGCCCGAGAAACAATTCAATTACTGCATGAGTCATTTCCTAGTCGTGTAATTTCCCGTTTTGGTGATCAGATTCGGCCGCCCAGATCATGCGATTTAACGCCGTTGGACTTTTTTTCTTTGGGGTTTTTTGAAGTCTAAGGTTTATGCCAATAAGCCCACGACCACCCACGCCTTGAAGGAGGAAATTGAGCGCTGTATCAACGAAATTCAGCCACATTTATGCAAAATGGAAAATTTCAATAAAAGAGTGCATATGTGCCAGCAAAGCTGTGGAGGCCATTTACCCGATATGCTATTCCATACACAACCCTATACTGCATACTTTATGAATCAATAAAAAATTTACAATTTTTAATTGATTCATAATAAACCTGTGTTTTCTATCAAAATTACTTCTTGCGTGAATTTTGGGACACCCTTTATAACGCGGCCGACGTTCGCGTACACACAATGGCAAACACAATAATGCGTGCGTCGACGGTGAGACAGCGGGTGCGCTTCAGAGATTAATTGAATCACATTGTCCGCACTATTAGTAATCGATCTACGAAAGGGAGCGCGACGAGCGGAATTCGTTTAAAAGCCCAGAGTGAGCGGCGCGTCGGGAACGTACGGAATACCTAATAAACGCAGAGAGGCGAACCGCGCGAAAAGCGTTCCACTCGGATTTCCTCAAATAGGCTCGAGAGAATCTCGTCCGTACAGACTGGACGCAAGACTGGACGCTTATAATTAAAGTTAGATTAAACGTTATAACTAAACGAACAGATCCGGAGAAGATGCAAGCATACACGAAAGAGAAGATCCGCGAGAACAGTAATCCGTAGTAAATAAAATACGACAATAATTTCATAAGGTTGAATTAAATAAAGTTAAATTAAATAAAATTAAAATTTAATTCGATATGTATAAAGACAAGAAATTTGCGAGATGTGAAAAGGCACAAAGGGGTGACGATCATCAAAGGCGGATAGGGGAGGAGGATAGGGCGTATCAAAGACTTACGAAAGCCGAGGATTGCGATTCGGGCAAGATTTTACCGTGCTACAATAGCGGTCTTTCCAACGCGAGCACTGCCGAGCATGACGAGACGGTAGCAGTTACGCGGTGGCGGCTTGCAAGCATCCTCCTGCGACGAGGTGGACGCAGGACTCGGGCTGACGGGCATAGCGAGCATTCCATCCTCCGGGCCCGAGGGACCATCCACTTCTGGCTCCGCTTGTGCACCTCTTCGGCCGCGGTTGATCCGATGCTCGGGTTCGTCGGCACTTCCGCTTCTGCAGAGCCTCTGCACGCAGCACAGAAGTCGGCCGCACGCCTCCAGCTGCAGAAACGGGAATTATGTGTCTATGAATGCGATATTAAGCCTTAACACTCTCCCAACTCTCTCTCCCTCTCTTTCTCTCTCTCTCTCTCTCTCTCTCTCTCTCTCTCTCTCTCTCTCTCTTCTCTCTCTCTTTCTCTCTCTCTCTCTCTCTCTCTCTCTCTCTCTCTCTCACATCTTCCTCTCTGTCTCTCTTGGGGCATAGTCTCTGCTAGATCATAGAGCGCTGTTAAATTCCCGAATTTCACTATTAAATTAGTCGTCAGCAACGGATATGGCGGTGCGTCACTCGGCATTTTACACGACGCAGCACTGTGTGAAAAAGAAAAAAAGAAAACACAATCGTGTTTTTTCTCTCGGGATTTGCGTTATTTCCAAATTCGAGCAATATACAAACGTAGTTTGAAATATTTTTTATCGCATGAAATAATTTACACTATGCTGACCTACGAGTTAACCGAATGTGAATCGTTGATAATGCTGATACGGAAATATTTTAATGACGGGAGAGTTAATGTTGTTAATGTTTCACGTAGAATTTCGACTGTGTGTCCGATAGTTATTAACGCAAGGTTATATTGAATTTCCGAAAATACGCGTATTTCACTGAACATCCAGAATTATTTACAGCTTTGATAGAGAATGTTATACAGTTCCTCTCTTTCCCTCCTCTCACCTTCTCATTCTCTCTCTTTCTCTCTATCTACCGTTAGTAACATTTCGTGTGACACGAAACTCAATTAACCAGCGGCAGCAGCATTAATATTTGGTGAAATTGAATTTCCCATTAAACAACAAGGTAATGAATGTGTCCAGGCATGAAAACAATACCCCGAAGCAATTGCAAAGCGCCGAAAGAACGAGATATACGAGATTCAAGTATGCATGCACGTGGTACATCCAATGTACATGAGGCTGGTGTTTTATTTTATGGCAACTCAGGAAATGTTCACGGTTCTCATTTCTTTTTCAATAGTTCTTGATTCTCGAAGAATTTAAATAACTATTTCCGACAAAAAAGATGAATTCGAACAAACTAAGACTTCAGCATCACTCATCTCATGTACTGGAAAATAAAGTGGATGCCTGAAATCACCACATATTTTGACTTTTAACAAAGTAAGGTACCAGCTTCATGCAGATTGTCAAATTGAATATAGTCGAACCTGAATCTGCGGTAGGCATTGGTACTATTTTTAACGCGATCAGTGAGAAATAGAATAGCAGATAACTAATGCACCAAACACGCTCCATAAGACTTCTCGCAAGTGAACTCCTCTTGAATATCTTCGATTGCTTCTCAATATTAAGAACATCCGAGAATTGTTGGCAGCAACAGGGTATTGGAAAAAAAATTCCATTTTTCCGGTGATCGAAAGTGTCGTGGATGAAAAGTGATGTTGCTCGGCGACCATCTGCCTCCCGTTCATATTTTTCAATACAATTCCTACGATTATATATCATTTTTCCGCTGTGAATCGCTACCGAACATTGCACGCTCGGTGAATTTTGCTGCATATTTCGTTAAGTTTAACGAGAATGCTTGTTACGCTGACGAAAAAGTTTCGGGGGAACGCGCTAAATAAATGCGGGGGAGCTTAACTAGAATAGTTTGTAGATGTCATGATAATTGGAGAGTTAAGGTTCCTTAAACGCGCACGCGCATGTCCCGGAATACCTTAAAATAAGTTTGAAATATACCTCGGTCCATTCCCTCACGCTCGTGTACGTTATATACTGAAAATACAAACTAGTTCTGCATAATTCACCCGGTTAAAATGTATTCGTACGTGCCGTTTATTCCGCATTTTAAATTCACGTGTAATATTAATATAATACATGTTTGACAATATAAAAGCTTATTAAAATATCGCGTCATTATTGTTAGTTTCCTCTTCAAAGGCAGATATACCAAGATTGTAGAAGAAACATTTAATGAAAACTGCTAAGAAATATGAGAGAAGCTCAAAGAGCACCAACTTTATTTGCTTTTAATTAATTGAGTATTATTAAAAAAAAAACATACAGCTCTTTGACTAATATATATCGTTGTCTTATCTCGAAATTATAGTTTTTCACGTTAGAACACCGAATGTTAATTACAGAGATGAGACGTAATTCACATACTCCGTCATTTGTTGTAAATTCACGTTCGCTAATATTCCTCGATATTAATGTTCCTCAAGTATCAGTGTCAGTGGTGATTTTATTCACGCTTAAGAATCGAGGATTCCACTTACGTCAAGCGATGACAGTTTATTCGCGACTTGGGCGAATATTCGTGGCCTCGCGGCGCACCGCTCGGGCAGAAACTGGCGTATAATAGAACGTGTTAAATCTTTACCATAACGCTCATACATTTCTAACTCGTGCACGCTGAATAGAACGCTAATGATTGCAACGAAGCAAGTTTTGAATGTCGCTTAACACCACTTTTAACGCGCGATAGTTGCAGAAGACCCATTAGACGAGAGACAAAAACGGTGTTACTTCGTGAGTGACAGCGAAACCACTCGAATCACTTCACATTCTCCAGTATATCCCTCTTCGGCGCGAGAAAAACCGCACGAGTGTGCCGACGGGTGAGCTTTTAACGCCATCGTCGCCTCGCGAATATCGATGTTGTATGATCTCTCGAATAATTTCTAAAATTGCAAATACTTGAATGCGCTAAATACTACACGGAGAAAGGGGTTAGTCGATTTAATGTGGGAGTGAATGAACGAAGTCGAATGAGTCGGAGAAAACAGAATTTCTTATGAACCAGACTCAATTCTAAGATTTTGATCGAAGGAAATGGAATTTCTCTGACTCTTAGAATCAAATTTGATTGTAGAAACAAGAAATTTTGTTTTCTCGAACTCGACCCCAAGGACCAGAAATTCTGTTTCCTTATTTGACCCAAAGGCTCTTGGTTTGTCTAGTGTTACGTCAATTTAATTAAACTTTTTTCTCCGTGTAAAATTGTAAATATCTCAAGTTTCGCTAAAATTCCTCGTTACATCAAACGTCAGCATATTACGTGATGCTCGATATTTTTTTTTAATTGATTAACGAAGGAAGGACTAGAGCGATGCGCGACGCGGCTTGTTGATGCGCCGTCGAAGAAGAATCTTCCTAGACGCATCGCGTTGAAAAATACATGAAGTAAACTCGATGCTCGTCGCCGTTGCTCCGCAAATTTACCTCTGAACAAGACAGCGTGCCGCTTCGCGTGTCTCGGTTTCGAGACGATATGCACAAGAGGTGAGGCTTTATAAATATTTAAATAGGGCACCTGATGCCTGCGCCAGGGTGTTGGCCGCAATTATTAAAGGCCTCCATTAAAACGCGCCACGCGTATTGCATTTCTTTTTTCTTTCTCCTCCTTTTCCATGCTTGCCCCTCTTCGGGAATGCAGTAACCTATTTTGTGGAGGAAACAAGTGAACCCGGGTCGAGTTTTATTCTCGTCGCTTTTACTTCACGACACTAACAGCACGAGTCGTTCTGATACGTTCTCTGCCGTTTAGCGAATGGCGACGTAAATCGTGTAACGGCGAGAGAAAGAATCTCTCTCTCTCTCTCTCTCTCTCTCTCTCTCTCTCTCTTTCTCTCTCTCATTCTCACTCTATTTTCCCCTCTTGTCGAACGTCACGTAAAATTCCGTTTCATGCACTTTCCGGCCGTTAATTTTCCGACCGTTAAGCCCTTGAATCGCCCGACGAGATCGTAATTACTGACCGCAATTGTTTTTTAGCGGCGAATGTCGGTGAGAGCTATTATTACGTGTCGATGATGCTTTATTTCTGGTCCAACCCGGCGAAATGGGGTTGCGATATTTTTCGTTCGCGTCAACTATAAATGCACATAAAAAAGAGCGAGAACGTTAGGGAAAGCGAGTGCACTCGCGTATGCGGATCGGATTGTATCGTACAGCATGATATTTCACCTCTGTCTCAAGTACGACGAACGCTATGCGTCTCGCGATACGTCTTGCGGTGGTATCGATGCTTTTCTATACCTCCATCTGCGCGCGTGTATCTCCCTCCCCGTCGCGCAAATTTTCCACGGAATAAAAGTCGGGCGTGCTGTCGTTACTATTTTTAGAATTTATGAACGGTGTTTTTCTCCCTCCGCGCGCGAACTCGGTTAACTATAATCTCAGTTTTACTGCTACTCCGTTTCTTTCTGGGAGATTAGAACTAGTGTGTAAGAAACTCCAAGATTTATGTCCTTTCTCCCTCGTGACTTCCGATCTTAGAAAAAGAAGAACCAAACTCTGAGGTCAAAATCCTTCCATTAGGAACTTTTGCCGTTTCTTTTTTTATGCTTTTCTTTTGCTTTCTCTCTCTCTCTCTCTCTCTCTCTCTTCCTTTCTTCATGAAACGTTCCGTCATGTACCAAATTTATTTTAAATGAGTCTGAATGCGTAAGTAAAACCACAACTTTTATCACCTCACAGGCGTCACATCAACAAATACGACCTGATAGAACATCAGAGCAGTCGAAATATGTTTTTACCGAATTCACAACACACGAAATAACTCCATTGCGAGGTTTCCTTCGTGTGAAGTAATCGGGTTAAAATTATCCATTGACATTGATAAAAATGGAAATTATGTGCCGTAATATTACGCGAGTATTGCGGGATTACAATAAACTGGGGTTGACAATTCTCAATCGCAGGCTTTTATTTTAGATCCTGCAGCTATGAGGAGCTCTCTCTCTCTCTCTCTCTCTCTCTCTCTCCCTCTCTCTCTCTCTCTCTCTCTCTCTCTCTCTCTCTCTCTCTCTCTCTTCCTCTCCCTCCCTCCCTCTCTCTCTCTCTCTCTTCCTCTGCACCGTCGTCGACAATGACGATCCTTGGGGAGGAAGCAGCAACGGTCTGCTTATAGCGGTCGATTATGAATACTTAGTACAGATGGTAATAGACAGCCTTTGGTAGTACCAGACCAGGATAGAAACCGTGTAACGAGCGACTATAGTGAGTATGTAAATGCAGATATTACGGCTCGCGTC